GAAAAAAAAAAGAAATATTTGGCCTCATTGGTAATCAAGTTAAAGTTAAAATCATAATGAAACACCACTGCACTCTTGCCAGATTGGGAAAAATTAGGAAATCCATCCTCAGCAAGTACTAGTGAGGATGAGAAATAAAGACAGCTCTCATAAACTACTTGTAAGAGTAATTTGATACAGCCTATTTGAAAAACCACTGGACATTGTCTACTAACAAGGTGTTTACACTGCACACCGCAGAAATTTCACTGCTGGGCATATACTCTAGAAAAATGTTTGCCTCCATCAGGAGGTAATATAAGAATTTTTAGAAAAACAAAAATTGGAAACCACCCAAACGCCTATGCATGGAAGAGTAGATAAGTATATTGTGGCATAGTAATAAAATGCATGGAATTCCAACAGAACACAATGTGAAATATGGACTATGATGTTGAGTAGAAAAATAATAATTTGCAGACTTCATCTCATATGATTATATTTGTATAAATAAAAATAATTAGCATCCCTCCAAAAAAATCCATGCATGACGATTATATTTGTATAAATTAAAATATAACTGGCATCCCTCCCCCAAAAAAATTTATGCTTGACTCTACAAATGTAGTTAGTAAAACTTTAAAGAAAAGCCACGTTCAAGTTCAAGATGACAGTGACATCATCATTATGGCACAGGAACTTTAAAAACATGAGTTATGTCCCATTTCTGTAACCAGGTGGAAGTATTCTCAGTATGATTATTTTCTGTCAATCTTCCTAATATAAAGATGTAATAGGAGGAATAATTGTTATATTATAAGAAAAACATTTATAGGAAGCTCTAGTGGCCTAGTTTTAAAAAACTACATTAAAATCAGGCACACAGTTTGAGTCGTCTGACTGCTCTGTGGGAGAAAGATGATTTACTGCTTCTAAATACCTCTAAATACCTGTGGGAAGCCAATTCTGACTTGATGGCACGCAGCAATAACAATAGTGTCTAGTATGCCTTTTTCAGTTTTACTTGTGTACGAAGTGCAAGGGCTTTGTGGGGATGGCCATATCTGACCTTTATCAACTGCTCAAAGGGGAACTGTCCCCATCAACAACACAAAGCAAATTTCCATGAAGTCAGACATGTGCCCCATGTCTCCACGCCTCTTTCTATTCATCCCAACACCAATCTTACTGTTTTATTTGGTCGAAAATCCGATGTGATAGCTCACAGACCACATAGAACCATGTTAGGGTAGTCAAAAGGCTGTAATTCAGGTTAATTGCAGAATACACTTAGGAGTCAATGCTACAAAGCTCATAATCCTGCCAAGTATAGCTCTCCCTCACCCTTAGGCCTCTAGCAAAAGTGAGCAAAAGACTATTACCTCTGGTTTAATGATGTGGCGGTTCCAAGGCCTTCTTCACCTCTCACCCGTTGTTTTGACTCTCTGCTGAACCCGCTATGGCTCCTGCTCCCAAAGGCCCTAGTCTGGCTGGCACAAGTCTCTGACCTCAAAGGACCAGTTGCAGTCTCTTTCTTCTTTGCTGGTGTGAGGTTTCTCCAATTCTGCTGTTGGATCCACTCAGTTCAGTGGTGAGACTAGCCAGTGCCCTTGTGGATAGGCTAACACACCCTCTTCACATATTCCTGCCCATCCCCAGGGCAATGTAAGTCAGTGGATAGGGAAGTCGTCGTGAACAATAAATTCTTAACACCATAAAAAGAGCAAGTGTGAAGATGACGATATCTGACCTCTTCTAGCTCTAGAAGGGGGAACTACCCCTGTCAACAGCATGCACAACACGACCGTTTCTATGCGGTTAGACATGTTCCCCCAGACTCCTGAACCTCTTTCTACTAATTCCAGCATCAATCTGACTGCCCTGTCGGGTGAGGAATCTGCTGCAGTAGCTACATAGACTACAAAGAAACCTCCTCATGGGTATGTTAGGGATGTTAGCAGGCAGCAGGGTACAGTTTCTCAGACAGGGCAGCTTCTGAAGGTGTGCTCACAGGCCCTTTGGCCTTTGCCCTTTCTGCTGTTAGACCGGTGTTACAAAGCTCTCTTAGTCTTGCCAGTTAAGACTCCCTTGCCAGTCCCCCAACAATCCTGGATGAAGGCGTCTACCTCTGGTTTTGTGGGTTCTTTGTCCCAAGGTCAGCTCTGTCTCATGGCAGTCTCTGGTTCTCTGCTGCGGCTGCTGCTTCTGCTCCTGTAGACCCTGCTCTGAGTGGTGCAGGAATCTTTGGCCCATAAGGAAGCTCACTGCTGCTTCTTCCATGTTGGTATTGAGATCCTCTAATTTCTGCTAGTGAATCTGCTCTGTTTACTGATGAGACCAGACAATCCCCTTGTAGATAGATGAACACACATTATTTATATCATCCCGCCTATCTATATGGCAGAGTCAAAATTAATGGCTAGGAAAGCCATTTTGAACAATAAACCCTTGAAACAAAGTTCTGTTTTGGAATCCGTCAGTGGTTGTGTTTTTTTTTCTTTTTCTTTTTCTTTTTTATGAAGCAGACCACAGACTTTGTTTTCACTGGCTACTTTTTTTAAAATTTTATTTTATTTCATTATTTTGTATGTGTACCGTCAAATCAGATCTGACTGGTACAGGAGATTATTCCTCCTTCTCCAGCAGAGCATCTGGTGGATTCGAATCGTGCACCTCTGAGATTGCAGTGCAACTTCTTGCCACTAGGCCACCAGATCTTGCCCCATCAGTGTTTTTGAGGTTACTTTGTGTGTATCTGACAAGTCAATGAAAAAGAACTTCCTGTCTCTCAAAAAATCCCAAATAAGTCAACAGAAAATGTAGTTTCTTTAAGCATGACTGTGTTTAAAATTAGAAATTGAGTGATTTAACAAAAAGGATCTTTAAATAGTTGACATAGGAATTCAGATTATATTTAGGAGTAACATGTAAATGACTCCACTGATTTACATTTTCAGGGCTTATTTTATATTTCTTTAAGTTGACAAGGACTTTGAATATAAAACATTTAATAAGGTTCTCCAAACTTGCATTTAAATTTCTTGTTTCTAGTACTATTAAAAAATCAAGCTCAGACCCCTTAAAAATGCACAAAAATATTCTATGCTAGGTGGAACTAAAATATTCTTGAAAACTTCAGGAAATTTAAAGGAAAATGTCAAAGAAGTATTGCAACCTGTTTCATTATTTTATCTTTTTCTCAAAGTTTATTCTCTGGAAATGAACATTTTTTTCAAAGTGTAATTTCAGTGCAGAAGTGATTTTGGAAAAATAATTTTGTATAGATTGTCAGTCTGCACATGGCAAATTTCTGAAGAGGAAAATCATGGGTGAAAATGAGTTTAAATGAAATATAAGTGGTTTATAATATCGGTATTGAGGTGTTTAGTAAAATGCTAGTATTTTCTTTAAGGTTTTCCTGTTTGTTTGTTTTTCTTTTTTTCTTTTCTGTTCTTGCTTATAGCAGTAAATAAAAGTCATGTTGTAAAACAAACAAAAAAGTAAAGAAGGGTTGTATAGTCTGGAAAAAAAAATATTAAATTAGACTGTCAAGCTGCAGTGCTGTTAGGTGTCACTGAGTCACTTTGGGCTCCTAGCAGCCGTGTGTCTATCACGTCAAGACCTTGCCTGACCCCCTGCCATCCTCACTGTCTCCACTGTGTCAAGGATCTGTCCTTCCAAATATGATTTCCTGTGGGTACAGGTTGGAACATCTCAAGGAAGAGATTATTTCATAAACCTTGTAGCTTTATAAAATCAAGGCAGTAAACATTTCATTGAAATTTTTTAAAGACCATAATTAGAATAATTATTTTTCTTGAATGCTAAATTTTTATTTGTTAATTATAATTCTAACATCATCCTAGAACTCTAGTGATTTTCCCTTAGGGAGTTGCACTGTTAAGTCAATAGGAATGTCTCTCTGATGATTTGAATCTACCATTGGCTCCAAAGAAGAAAGATGGGCGGTCTCCTTCCGTGAAACCTTCTCAAATCTTCTCAATGATTGGTTCTGAGTTAGTTCTGACTCAGCAGCAATGAGAGAGACTGTCATCGTTTGAAAACCGACTTGTGCATTGTTAATGTCTTCCAATAAGTTGTAGTTTTCATACACGGCTGGTGAGCGCCTTGTGTGAAAAAACAGCTCTCTCAGTAATCAAGTGTTACTTCTGCTGTGACATGAGCAGATAATTGAGGTAAGTGATAAAAACTTTAAAATCCATTTAACATACTGTGTTTTCACCAATGGATTTTTTCTCCTTTCTACATTTAGGTGTTCAGCCAGCTTGGATCTGTGCTGAAAAATAGTGACATTTCAATCCATCTTGTAGAAGTGAGTCAGAAATTAAGTGAGGTCCAAGCGGTGACACTGACGGAGGAGAAGGCCCCAGTGCAGCGAAGTCCTGACTCTCCAGTGTATATGAAAGGGATTACTAAGTCTGGACTTCCAATCTCCTGGTACCGCAACCTGCAGGATGTTCCAAAGGGTAATCCTTTTAATGAGTGAAAGAATTTTGATCACATCCCCTCAACTGTGGTGGAGGGTTTTACAGCAACATTATTCATTATCATTGCTCTTACTCTCAGGCAGTGGCTATTTTATAGCTAAGAGCATATTGGGAATAAAATTCCCTGACATTGAGGAGCAATGTATTTAATGTAATTTTTTGGGGACAAAAACCCCAAAAAACCAGTGTGTAGATTTCTGTTGCACTTTTCTTCAAGTTTTCCCTAAGATTACACTTGTAATAGGGAGCGCTGGTGGCCCTTGTGCTAAGAAGTTGGCATTGCAGTCCTGAAGGCATGATGTGGCTTGAATCTACCAACTGTTCTGCTGGAGAAGCATGAGCTGTCTTCTGGGCATCTGAACTGTTTCTAAAAACCTACTGAAGGGTCCAGGGTCAGTTCCCACTCAGTGGTACACAGCAACAGTACTGGTAATGAAATCTGAGGCAATATAGGGCTGAAGAAGAAAGTGTTACTACATATGTTTCTCTAAATTTTTGCACAATTTGAAGATTTCTTCTTTATCTGAAAGAAACATGATGTGATAAAATCAGTGAACATTCCAGTAATATTGATGAGTAGTGATTCACCGTAGGCAGGGCTTGAGCCTTCTCTGTTGATTGTACGAAATGCAAATTCTTTTCCAATTCTGCGTTCTGATTTGTTTTGGGCCTTATGATCAGGTTAGACTGGTAGATAATTCAGGCGTTTTGGTTTCCTGACCCTGTAGCATTTCAGTATGAGGAGAGTAGAGTATGTTCCTGCATATGCTGTGCAGACTGGGTTTTCCAGGAAGGTGTCCCAGTGGTGCTGTGATTGCCGTGATTACATCACGGATGCAAGGGTTGAAGAATAAGGTATTCTCACAGTTAATGTTTAAAAGAAGGAGAGTGTTACCTTAAAGAAGCTGAAGTACTAATATTTTTCTCCTGTTTTTCAATAGGGTACAGCTTTTATCTTGCGCATGAGTTTTTTGATGTTCTTCCTGTGCATAAGTTTCAGGTATTGATGAGGGGATAACAGCCAACTTTATAAATGAATAAAAAAGGCTTTTCATTAAAAGAATGAACATGTTTAATAATGTTTAAATTTGTTATTTAGCATTTTAATTTTAATAGTTTAAACTTATCAAAATTTAGTAATGAGGGAGCTTGAGAGTGTCAGCAGTTGCGCTGCCTAGCTACCCACAGGCACGCATTTTGAATATGCTCGCTGCTTTGTGAGAGAAAGATGGGCCATCTCCTAACATGTGGTTTACAGCCTCTGAGAACTCACTGAAGAATCAGCTGAGTCACTTCTGACTCAATAGCCATCAGATTAATTAATGAATATTCCTTGTAGTACCTATTCTTTACTTTGGAATTCTGGTGGGGGGAGAGGGAGAAAACGAGAGAATTTAAGATTGTTAATGGCTGTAGTGTGATGTATTATTTTTAAAAATTATTTGTTAAAATTCCAAAAGTTAATTTTTATTTTAAGTTAAAATTTTTTTGTCTTTCTTTTTATGAGGAAAGTTAAAATTTAGGGCTAATGTCTGTGTGCTGTGCTCTTAACTTTTAATGCTAAGATACCACATAGCAGTTTGCCTTTGGCAATTTCTGGTTGTTCCCCAGGAACCTGCTTTCTATTTTGGATACTTTCCATCCTGCTGATTTTCTTACTTTCTTCTGTAGCCCATCTTTGTTACTGGTTTCCATGGGAACATTACATTGGTTTACACTTATGAAGTTAGTCACCTCATTCAGCGAATCTGAGTTAATGTTTGTAAATATTTTAAAGTTAATGTTATTGTTAGTAATAGGAGAAGACCAGTAGTTCTTTTAAGTAGAGAATTTTGGGTGGAAATCAGCAAAAACTTGTTTTTGTGTTATTTTGTATTTAGAAAACACCACAAGGATGGCGAGAAGTGTTAATTGATATTGATCCACAAGTTTCTGATAAACTGAGGTTTGTTTTGGCACCTTGTGCTACTCCAGCAGAAACTTTCATACAAGTAAGATTTTTTTTTTTTTGTTTTTTTTGTCTCTTCCTTACTGTGTGTACAGACAGACTTTTCAAAGTCCATCTTACTGAGTTACTGTTCTAGAGTTCATTTATATACGCAGGAGTTGCTTTCTGTGTATGAAGTACCCCTTGTCAGTGGTAAGAGTGGAAAGTACAGAGATCTAGTTAGGAGGCTACCTTAAAATCCACACTTGCAACTCCTTAGGTGAATAACATTAAGCAGTAATGAAGGAGAGGGAAAGTTTGTGCTCACTTAACAAGTTTCTGTTTACCTGTTTCTTCCCTTTTGAAATTGTGACAGTATCATTTTCTGTAGTAAAAGTGTGATGCTTATGAAAGCAACGTGATACAATGTATAGTGCACTAGTAACAAGAGTAATAACACCTAGTGTTGATTGACTGCTCTGTATTTTCTGTGTTGTACTGTGTATTGTTGTTGTTGATTACCACAGGTTCCGAACCAGCCCATAGCTGCCTCTTCACTGGATATTGAGAGGCAGTAACCTGCAGGAAGGTGATTGCTCATCTTTCTCCCTTGGAGCAGCTGGTGGATATTAACCACATAGCTTTGAGTTGGTAGCGCATTTCCTCCAGCACTAAGCCACCAGAACTCCCATAGTACTGTGTATTACTCTAGATTTGCTCATCTGTTTTCCCAAACAACCCTGTTAGGTAGGGTCTGTTAGCATTTGCTGCATTATTCCTAGAGCCCATGCCTCTACTGAACTCTAATCTGACGATGGTATGTTTACTGCAGCTTTTTGCTGATCTCAAGGAGTAATCATGTAATTTATAGCAGTGTGGTGGGCACGACCTCCACTAACTTCAGAAGAGGCGGAATCCCCACCAGGAATATCATTAGCGCAAGACTGAGCCTTATGAGGTCAGACACGTTCTGCTATCAATCCCAGCACCAGCTATCCCTCCCACAGCTCTCATTACTCTGCCTCTAGGTTCAGTAATTCTTTGCACTGGCCACACAGAGCTCACAGACAGTATTCACAATCATGGAGTTTAATTTGAGAGTAACAGGTTACGATACTGGTTGAAAATACACAGGATACAATTTTTCATTCATTACGGCCTCTTCTTAGCCACGCTCTTAGGCAGGCCCCTGACCCTGGGCCCCAAGAATTGAGCTGGCCCCGAGGGTTTCGGCTCTGTTTCTCCTTGGTTGCTGTGAACGGAGTGCTACTGGGCTCTTTTCATCCTCCCACTTGTGTTTCCGCTACCCGTCCCTGCCAGCAGCCTTGGGCCGAGGCTCTGTGGGCCAGCACATCTCGAGTAGTTGTTATCTTATGCCAATCTCAGGTTCTCTGCCGCTGGCGCTGGTGCTGCTGCAACCCTCTCGGCTGTTGAGTGTGGGGCTTGCTCTGACTCTTGCAGGAATCTGTGGTCCTAAGCGCACTTAACACTCTTGAGTGCTTGCTGGGTGTGAGATTTCTGCCTCTGAGCCTGATGTGATGGCAAAACTGGCCCAGTCTCTACCTTAGCAGTCAACATACTTTTTTGCATGTTCCCACCCCAAAGATGCTATTTACATTTTCTTGCATTGCTCACAAGCTATTGAGTCCTTTGATAGGTCACAGATACCTAATATTTGCATAATTCTGCCCAGCCTCAAGAATGATATTTGCCAGGGTCTTTTCAGTTGTTTCACATGTTTGTGAATGTTGGATAATGAAAAGGATGACAGAATCAGCATCACCTTTGAACTGTAGTGTTGGCCAGGAGTACTGACTAGCCCGTGGACTGCCAGGAGAACAATTTAGTCTGGATGGAGGAACTGCAGCCAGGGTGCTCCTTCAAGGTAAAGCTCCTTATGTGAGCCTCTGTCTCCTGTACTTTGGCTGTGCTGTCAGGAGAGACCAATCCATGGAGAGAGACACCACGCTGGGAAAGATGGAAGGTGAGAGAAGGAGGAAGGTGCTCAGTTAGATGGAGTGACGCAGTGACTGCAGCACCGGGCTGAGCCTCCTGGAGCTCAGGAGGATGGAGCAGGGCAGGCGAGGTTCAGCCCTGTGGTTCTTAGGGGTGCCGTGAGCTGTAGTCATCTTCGCTGCACGTAACAACATCCTCTGGGGGAGCTGTGGAAGCAGCTCATAGAGAATTGTGCGGCTAACACAGAGATCACACCTCTCTGTTGGACAGGAACTTATTTAATAATTCTGGGTACTTGGTTCATTAACTGATTCAGTCCTCCCAACACATCTATTGCTGTATGTAGATGATGAGGAAAGAAGTTAAATAACTTCTTTTCCAGGAGGCAGTAGGAAGAGCTAGGATTGATTCATCCTTAATCTTGTTGACTATCATATTTACCTGTTTTACCGGTGTTGACAGATAGCAGGGCAGGGAGGCATGCCATTTTCAATAGGATACTAAGAGAGAGAAATTAATGCATGCTTTCATCATGGAGAACAGTAAGATTTTCATTCATCTGAAGAATTATTGAAATATCATGTTGTTACTGGTAGGTGGTCGTGTCTGGGAAGAAATTCCAAAAAGGAGTCAAAAGAGACTCTGAAACTTGCACTGGAACAAAAGAAGCCAAAATAACTCAGAAAGAAGGCTGAGGTAAGAGAGCTGAACAGAAGATTTCAAAAGGCAGCTTGAGAAGGCAAAGCATAGTAGTCTAATGAAATAGCCAGGGAGCCAGCAGAGGAAACCAAAAGGAAAGAACACGCTCAGCATTTCTCAAGATGAAAAAAGCAAAGAACAAACTCAAGCCTCGAGCTTGAAGGATTTTGTGGGCAAAATCTTGAATGATGCAGGAAGTGTCAAAAGAAGATGGAAGGAATACAGAGAGTCAAAAGAATTCGTTGATGCTGAACCATTTCAGAAAGTGTATGGTCGAGAACCAGTAGTACTGGAAGCCCAAGCTGCACTGAAGGCGTTGTCATGCTGTTATTAGGTGCTGACAGGCCAGCTCGGACTCCTTATGAGCCTATGTACAGCTGAGGAAAGCAGTGCTTGGTCTGCACCGTCTTGGGCTCTCTCCTGTGCTAAGCCCATGGTTGCAGCTACTGTGTCGGTGTGTGTGGCTGAGAAGTCTGTCTGAAGGGATTGACCCCCCTGGTGACGTGCCCAGAGTACAGGAGAGGATGCTTCCCCATCCGCTAAGGAGCACTCTGGTCGCACTTCCTCCATGTAGACTTTGGCAGTCTATCATACATATAATACTTTTTGCCAATAAAAATGTAATTAAAAAATACGCTTGGCGCAGTTAAAATGTATTAGTTGATCTTCAGTCTTCCTTATTCATATTCATTCTTTTACATTCATATGACGCAATTAAAAATACCGTGGCGTGGGTTAGGTGCATCAGGAATGTCCTCAAAGTGACACCCTTGCTCTGTAACACTTTACAGGGTCCTTGGCCGCAGATACGCCCAAGGCAGTAGGCTGTTTGATTTCCTCTCTGTTGCTTCCATTGTTGTAAAATGAAGTCCCTGACAACTTCCTTTTTCTCTCTTTATCATGATTTTGTTTATTAGTCCAGTTGTAAGGATTCCCCCCCCCCTTTATTTGAGATATAATGCATGCTTAAGTCTTTTTAAGATGCACCAGTGTGTGGTTGGTTTGGGTGTTGGTTTTTTTTAAAAATTTTAGTTAGAAGATAGGCATGGTTGACTCAAGATCCTAAGACCCAAGAACCTCAAGGATCAAGTGCACTTTCTCCAAGACCCATTCTGTTTTCGGAGAGAATGTTTCTTTCTGCTTAAAGACAAGTTACTGTTTTGGGGGAGGAACAGTAAAGAATTGTATTCCGGTTTTTATCTTTGTGAGAACATTGCTGACACCTAGTAAGTCATCTCTGAAATGTTTCATTCCCTATCAGTTTTCTGATAGTTAGGTTGTGAACATCTGGTAAGTCCAAGGTTCTCATTGGGATGGTCTCCAAAGGTAGACAGGCCAGGAAGTGGGCAGAGCTAATAGAGGTTTACAGTCTGCACCGGGAGGTCCAGCCCCCTCATGTGCTTCAGGAGGCAGCTTGTCCACTTGCGCCTGGTCTGCAGAGACCCTAACATGGATGGGGTGGGGGGCTCCATGTGAATATAGGAGGTTGGCGGGCACCTCCCTGAACCCCTGTCCAGTCCACACTTGGTGCACCAGTCAGTGTTTTAAGTCTTTGTTTTCTCAGGCATGTTGTTGCTAGCCTTCCTCCAGTCCTTATGTCCTGTTCTTTATATAGTCCAACCTCTCAGGTTATTTACTCTGGCCAACAGATTGAAAAAGTAGTGAAAGAAAAACAACTTTGAAATATACTTTTCCTGATTTTTAAATCAGGAAGCATCAAAAGAATATGAAAAGAATACACAGAATTAAGAGGTGTACCAAAAAGAATGACTTGATGGTTTTCAAAAGGTAGCATATGATTAAGAACTAGTTGTACTGAAGGAAGTAGTTTTTGTAATTTTTTTTTTTTTGTCGGGGCTGCTCAAAAATTTTCCCCATATATATTAATGGTAATTGTTCCTCTGCGTATACTCTTTTGGTTTAAAGGTTTCATAGGACCTCTCTACTTTAGGACAGCAGAGGAAACCTATGTATTTGCTATGTATGTATTTAATGTTTGACATAAAAGTAATACTGTAAGTAAGATAATAATGGCAGGGGTCTTGGGTCTTCTGGAGACAGAGGAGGGATTAAAATGGCATTGTAAACTGAACAGATGGCATCAAAGAACCAAGAAGGATGACATACAATGTATATAACATAGTGTAGCAAACAGATTTAGACTGAGAAGGAATTTACTTTTATTGAAGTTAAGAAATGTTCATTGTGGAAAAACAAAAAATAACCAACAAAAAAATTCAAGAGAATAACTGAATAATCCTTTTGCGTTATGTGTTTCTTCAACTGTTGCGTTCTTAGCATGATGAAACAAGGGACCATGTGGAAGTCTGCCCCGATGCTGGTGTGATTATTCAGGAGCTTTCTCAGCGCATTGCATTGACCGGAGGGGCGGCACTGATTGCTGATTACGGTCATGATGGAACAAAGACAGATACCTTCAGGGTATGCTTCAGTGATAGTTTATCTAATTTTAAGTGGTGTGATTCACTTACAATTATTATTAGATTTTAAGCTTATCTAATTAGCTTTCTTTTTGGTTTCCTTAATACTTAGCATCGTTACTTTGTGTTATAATTAGCTTGTGTTACTAGCGTTAATCCTGAGGAGCCCCCTGGTGTAATGACCAAGTCCTCAGCTGCTGAGACTGGAGACTTGAAGCCACCCAGTGGCGCCTCACCAGAGAAAGACCTGGGACTTTGCTCCTTTAAAGATTACTGCCTAGAAAACCTTGTGTTCTGCTCTGTCAGATTGATTAAAAAAGTTGACCTGAAATCACCTAATAATATTTTCTCTTAGCTCATGATTTTAATTCCCGGCTATCAGTTCTGTCCAACATATTGTTGTACCCTTGAGTTGAATAGGAGTCATAGCAACCCTGTGAGCAGACCTGATGAACCCTCTCCTAGCCTGTGCCATCCTTGTCATCTCTGCTACTGAGTTTCTTGCTGCCATCACTGTGCAAGATGAGGGGTCTTCCTCTCTTTTGCCGTCCTCCGCCTTTCCACGCATGATGTCTCTTAGGAATGGCTTTTCCTGGCAACATGCCTATAATTTGGTTTCAACATCTTTGTCTCCAAGGAGCAGTGTGTCTGCACTTTATCTGTTTGTTTTTGGCAGTCCATGAACAGTACTCTTCTCCAGTACCATAGCTCAAAGGCATCAATTCTTCTGTGATCCTTACTCACTGTGCAGCTCTCAGATGTATACATAGCAATAGCAAATGATTGTAGCTACCATGGCCTGAATCAGGCACACCTTAGTCTTTAAGCTGACATCACAGCTCTTCAATATTTTGGAGAGGTTGCTGACAGCCAACTTGCCCAATGCAGTTAATGCAGTTAAGTGGCTCTTGATCTCTTCCCTGCTGGTAGTCTGTTTTTACAGACACAAGTAAGTGGCTGAATGCAAGTGTCTCCCACTTTCTGGATAGGAGCTCCGCCACCAGGGTTCCCTATTCTCATTGTATGAAGCCAGACCTTGCCTATGAAGCCTTTCCTAAAGAACGGTATAAAGTAAGGCAGTAACTACCACTAACTTCAATGGAAAAAAGATTTGCATGTTCTCAAGACGAAATCTTCCTAAATCACAGCAAACAACACATAAAACGAAATAAGTCATGCAGTGCTTGCAAACAGTGTGCAAAGCTGTGGCAGCTTGATGCTCAGGGTAGTTCTTGGGGAAATAGTTTGGTGACCCTACTGTCATTGTTTGGAGTGAGCACTGGTCTCTTCAGAAGCTCACTGCAAAACAACCACTAACTGCTGGTATAGCTTTTTGCCCTTTTCCTTAAAAGCAAAAAATATACTTCATAGTTCTTTAGTAGCAGTTCGTAATGTAGGTCTGTATTCAAAGTGGTGAAGCGTGAACTTTCTGAAAGCAGGGGCTATACAGTGGAAGTGGAAAGATTTTCTTAAAGTTGTCTTTCCCCTTTCCTTTCCACACCCTTTTTATGGTTGTATCCTTCCACATTTAACCTAGTTACCTAAATAATAGTAATCCGGAGAGTTTAGTGAAACCTGATTCCCCCCCTTCACTGCTATGATTTTGATTCATGGCAGCAGGAATCCAGAAATTATTTTCAGGCGATTTTGATGCAAACAGCCCTTTGGTCGCCTTTATGGCAGAACTAATGAGACCTCCTCTATCACCAGGAGCCTTAATGAGTTAAATGTCTCCAAAGGGCAGCATCTTAGGCAGCACTGCACTACTATTGCAGTTTCCATGTAGAGTCTCCATTGAAGAAAGCAGGCTGCTGATTTAAACCAGTGTACATATTGTAGTAATTGATAGGCATATTAGAAGAGCATTTCTTTAACCTTCTTGGCAACCAGAGAAAGGCAATCTCATCTTGGCTTTAATTATCTTAAAGGGCTTTTGTGGTCACAAGCTCCATGACGTGCTGATCGCTCCAGGGACAGCAGACCTTACCGCTGATGTGGACTTCAGTTACTTGCGCAGAATGGCACAAGAAAAAGTCGCCTCTTTGGGGCCAATAAAACAACAGACGTTTTTAAAAAACATGGGTATTGATGTCCGGCTGAAGGTAATGATTTCCCCATGACTGAAGGTTTAATTTCCAGTGCTGAAATGATTTTAAATGCTCATTCCCCTGGCCCTCACGCTTGTGGGGGAGATGCCTGGCGTCCAGGCTTCTCATTTGTGGCGTCTGTGTAGCCTTATGGCCCACGGGCTCGTCAGCTCCATCTGAGAATTGAGGCTCTATATAGTTTTCATTTTTGTTAAGAAAACTTGGCCATGTTTATGTATATGAATTTTTGTATCTCTTCTTCTGTGGGCGCTTTGCCTTTCAGTGTGGGAAAAATTATTAAAAATGCAAATTCTTAACAATATTCATTGTTAACAAGAGACTTAGGTGATTTTGAGACAGGTAATCAGAAATCTCATTTAGAACAATGCTTTATGGAATATTTACTAGTAATTTTCTATATAACTAAGAATCTGTTCTTCTGGTTATTTTGGCTAAGAATTTTTTTCTCCCTTTCAGGTTCTTTTAGGTAATTCAGATAAGCCGTCTACAAGGCAGCAGTTACTTCAGGGATATGACATGTTAATGAACCCTAAGAAGATGGGAGAAAGGTTTCACTTTTTCGCCTTGGTACCTCATCAGAGACTTCCTGATGGGAGCCATCAGGTGAATGAACGTCAGTCACGCAAACAGAAACCCTCTCCAGCGCCTGTTGCTGGGTTTGATGAACTTGTTTGGCGGTGATATTTCATCTTGGACTTTTAACCCCTCAGTCTGCCCAAGAACTAAGAATAAAAGGAATACATTTCATATATTGCAGAGAATATAAGTATTGAACTATTTTGTCTCTTCATAGCCAGTAAAGATAATGCATGTTATCTATAATTTACAGAAACTTCATTGTTTCAGAAACTGCCCTGGTATGACTGTATTCTCAAGTTAATGAATTGTTAATGTGAAACTGAGTTTCTTTGAATTACAACGTCAGTTGCTGTATTTTATTTTTAAAAGAAATTTTAAAAATCTTTGACTAAAAACTAGGAAGATCTCATCTCTGATTCCCAGAGAACTGTAAGATATAGTACGTGAAAAAAGTAGTGTGCAGTTTCTATAGTAATGATTGCATTTTTTTTGGAAGGCAAAAAGCTCAATTTTCAAAACACGTAAAATAAGAATTTTAAAATATAGTTCCAAAAAAATATATATATAGTTCCCAAGAATAGTTATTTTTGTTCTGGCATGTATACGCATTTAACAAAAATAGCAAAGAGAGAATGTGCAAGAGGTTTGATTATTACTAAATGTTCTCATCTGATGTTAAGGCAGCTCTGGTGACCCAGTGGTAAGAAGCTGCGCTGCAATCCCAAAGGCATGCAGTTTGAATCCACCAGCTGCTCCCAGGGAGATGGTTGTGCAGTCTCCTCCCATGTGATTTTACTGCCTCTGAAAACCTGCTCGAGGGCCAATTTAATGGCACCACAACAATCTCGACGTAAGGAGCTCTGCTGGCCTAGTAGGTAAAAAGTGCTGTGAAGTCAAAGGCAGCCAGTTTGAGTCCACAGAAAGATGGGCATTCTTCTGTGTGATTTATAGCTTCTGTAACCCGCTGGAGGGTCAGCTGTGAGTTGCTTCTAACTCAGTGGCACCTATCTAGAAATTGTTTTAAGGGGTAAGAGACACTTAAAATTCACTCTCAATTTGTTGTATTTGAATTTTTTTTCTATTATGTCAACTTCATAATTAAAAACAATTAGCATAATTCTGTGCCATCTTTATCATCTATGACCCTGTGTATTCTCCTATTTTGGTTCATGTGTTAATATTGGAAACGGATTTTTCTGAAGAATTGTTATAGTAGCAACATACATTTGTAAGGGAAATGAAAGGTAAAGAACACTAGCCATATATGTCTTAGAATAAAAATACTTTGCTTTTTTGCAATTTCCTTGGTGGAGTGACAGACTGTTGCTGTTAGTGCTGCTTTTGCTAACAGAACTGAGCTAGACTACTACTGCATATTACTCTTAATGAAATGAAAAGGAAAGCCTTTTTCACCTGCTGCTCAGCCTTGGTTGGGCCATCCCTACCCATAATCAATTTACTTTCATATTCTGTTTATTTTTTTCAGACTGGTTGGGATTTTTTTTTTTAAATTTTTATTATTAATTTCAAGTGAAAATTTACAGAGACTTTGGATTTCCATTCATTCACTGTTGCACTTTTCTCCCTGCCCACCCCTCCCCTTGGAAAATTTTTAAAGTCACAGTTGTGCTTCTCTGTAAATATGTATTAATTTTTTTTTTAAATTATTTTGTTTGTGTGTACCATTAAATCAGATCTGACTGGTACAGGAGGAGATTGTCCCTCCTTCTCCAGCAGAGCATCTGGTGGATTCGAACCGTGTACCTCTGGGATTGCAGTGCAGCTTCTTGCCACTAGGCCACCGGAGCTCCCTAAATATGTATTAATTTTTATAATGAAAAATTAAGTTATACAAGGCCTTATTTCTTAAAATGTAGAAAATTCATCTTGGTATTTTCTAAATCTAATATTTGAATTTTTAGTGGTATTTCTTTTTTAAAGTGTAATTATAAATTTTTATCCCAGAAATGAACCTCAGGTGATGACCCTAAATATAGTATAAAATCACAATACATTGTTTTTTAAAAAAGTTTTTTTATTTTAGGCAGATTAAAAAAGAATGTGTTCTTAAATATATCATTAGTTCCATTTACAAATATAATTTCCAAAATAGTTCTATTTCCAAGGCCTGGATAAGTAACACAAACAAATAAAATTTCTTTGGATACCTCTATTAGAGAGAGTCTGGTTTTCATATGGAAATGTATATGGTGATATAGAAATACATTTTATTATCAAGCTTCTTTGAAAGTATTTACAAAAAAGTGGATGTAACAAAAATATAAAAATGTACTGAAGAGTGTCATTATACACTACTTTGTACATATCAGATGTTTCTAGCAAACAAATATTTTTATACAAATAAAAATTACTTCAAGACAAAAAACGGTTATGAAGGTTGTACAGTATCTGGAGTAACTGCTCAATCTAAATTATCTGACAGTGACTTTACAATATCTTTTTGCTTGGCTTTTTTTTTTTTTTAGAAAACCCAGGCAGTCAGTAACAAAAGTGATAAAGAGTGCAATTTCATGGCTTGTAAAGCTCAGTTCCCCACATCATTCCAGTTCATTCTCACCATATGCCGTGAAACGACAGCAGGGAGTCATGTGGCCCAGCATCACTTCTTTTTGTACACACTGATATGAACGGTTCACTTCAGAGGGATTTTAGGGATCTCATCCTTTATCACACAGGCAAAGTAGTTTTAGAATATTTCTTCTGAAATTTTGTTTCTGCAACTCCTAATGAGAACAAATTACTGGGAAATGATGTGTAACAGTAGAGCATCCTGGTTAAAAGGTGTAACCTGGACAATGGCCATGCTTCTAGAGGTCAAATCCCTTTATTAACTGTGAATGAAAATGCGGGCGATTATCCTAAATATAGTATTAAAATCATAATTCTCAATTTTTAAAAAAGTTTAAAAACTATGAGAGCTTTCCTTAATTTCCTTCTGCTCCAGTTTCCTTATTTGTAAGATGGGATTGTAATGTACTTACCTCATGGTGGTGGTGAGGGGTCTAGAGCTTAGAACCCAGGACTGCTCAAGCTTCCCAAGACAGTTTTCTCCAGGACCGTGTTAGTTTAGGTAAGGGGAAACTCACTAATCCTGCCTGGAGGGCTCTCCAGTTGAGTTTGTTCACACAGGAACACTCTTTCCTTTGCTACCTCAAGTTAGGTGGGCTGTAATAGTTAATACCTTCATGATTTTCAGCTTACTGAATACATTTATACTTATCTGAGCTGCCCAACAAGCCTATGAAGCAAATAGAAGCAAAAAATTATTACTTTTATTTTACAGATTCAAGAATACAAGGCTCAGACAACTTGTCTAAATATTGAAGCCAAGAGTTCAGTCCAGAATTTTCACTCCAAATCTTATTCTTGAAACTGTACTTCTTGGGAGTTAAAAAAGGATTACAATAGTAACTAAAGAATGACAAAAAGCCCAGTAGATTTTATAAATGTACGGTCCCAGATGTTTTAAAGAGTTAAGAAAAGCTCTAGCTTCATAAATTATTTCATTGTAGAAAAAAGAATTTTTTTTAGCAAGCTTCAAGCTCAATGTAAAATAAAATGCTCATGTCAGGCTTCCATTTACTCTGATGGTACAGCCCCATCCTTACAAACAAGCCTGCTCTGGCCTCCCAGCCTCCCAGCCCGCAGATATCTCTATAGCCCCAAGAAAGTGAAATACAGAATGGGCATTTTATACTTCTTTCTTATAGCACTAACTGACCCTGTATGCTATTTTTTTCCTACGTGCTTGGTCTCTTTCAAATTAGCCGACAGTAATTGTGTTGATTAAATTTCAGACCTGCACTCTCAAGAGTGTTAGGGTCCGGCTGTGGCATTAGAGGTGTCAGTGGACATGAACAAAGTTAACTCTGGAAGACACACTTAAGCTCCCCACTTTAAGACTTGCAGTCCCTAAACCCTAATTTTGTAATGTCAGTTATCCCAAAGTATCTCTCAAAGGGTGCTACAATATATTCTCAAAAGGTGACAATGGTATTTTTATTTGTAGAGCACATTTCAGGGTTGGAACTCCAAAGAGTTAAGAATCACTCTTTTGGAGCCCTGGTTGTTGAGGGACATGTGCAGCAGCCCCACTTCCCCTTTTCTAATCTTATAAGAAAACGTCCTCAAATGCCTTTGTAATTAGTTAAATGATTTATATAAATTGGTTTACAAAACAAAACAAATGGTTTATAAAAGTCCTTATAACACTGGCAGCCTCTCAGCGGGCTCTTAAATGTAAACCTTATAGTAACCGACCTTACAACTCTCATACACAAAACTGGGGTTTGTTTCTTTTTTAAAATTAAGAACAGGAAAAGGAAGATAAATTAAGTGACTATTGTACTAAGTGAAGGATTAGGGAAAATAGTTATTGCTTATGTTATAAAAGTTTATGAAAAGCTTTATCTTGATTTCATTATGGTTATTGACTTTCCCCCTCTTCTGTCAATTCACTGTGAACTACAGTATTGGTGTCACTGATTCCCTATCACAGTTCGAGTCTTTGCATCCTTGTTGGTTCATAAAATGAAATCCATCCTTATTGAGGTTAGTCCTCTGACAATTACGGATCTTCTTCCATATCATCTGGATTGGGAGCCATGATGAAGTGCTTTGGGTATTCCAGGTTGTGTGTGTATGCGTGTATTTCCCAGCGAGCATCATCACTCTCATGTGTAATGTAACGCTCCCCAATGCGAGTCTCAAATTCTCGAAGGTCAAGCCAAGTCTGATAGTCCTAAAAGAAAAATGGAGTAGCTTTAAACAACAAAAGCAATATAAAATATTGCAATCTCATCTATGCTGAGCATTCTAATCAATCAAAAATCCTACTCATAAATACTGCTATACAATTAATTTCATTTTGAATATTTTCATTAGCAATGTTTTTCAACTTCAAAGTTTCTAATGAAGAAAGTACTAATTTATAAAATTAAAAACAAACTGCCTCACGATCCTGAGGTGACTAATGATATTCACCAAGTCATTTTATTCTCTCTTCTTAAAGGGCTGGCTACACATTTTTCCTCAAAAGCAAGAACTGATCACGAGGATAGTGTAATAATTTCTGGGACTATCTGTGTGTGTATTGATTTTGGAGTTAATGCTATCCCTTACTCACTTCAGATTAGTTCTAAAGCTTTTCTCTTTATTACAGGAAATTTAGAGAGCTCTCTCAATCTATGTATGTGGTAACTTTTGATAATGGTATTTCTGGGCACATCAATGCAAAATCAATCTTCTGGTGGGCATTTTCAGGGGCTCAAATGGTGTACTGGTTATGCTCTCAGCTGCTAAGCTGGCAGTTTGAAGCCACAAGCCATGAAAGTTGGGCCAACGGCCATAGCACGGATTACAGTCTCCAAACAAGGCCTGCCTGCTCTATATGGCTATTAGGAGCTGGAATCAACGTGATGACAACAGATTTGGTTTTAAGTTTGACTAGACATTTTAAAAGTAAAATGTGTTATTCATCTTAGGTGAAATGAACACATAAAACCCTAGGAGACTATAGATTATTACTATCAGTTCATGGGAGTTTTATTTTTAATCAGTATATCATGTGAATGGTGTCCTGACTCAAGAGTCTCTACTACTGTTATGTGCTCTTAGGTTGTTTGCAATCCATAGTGACCCTACGGAAGCATGCCTTGTCCTGAGACAGTCTCGCTGATTCTAACACTCCAACCCCCATTGTTCCAGTTACTGTAACAATCCACATCTGGGATCTTCCTCTCCTGTGCTGTCCCTCCACCCTTCTGAGCATGATGTCCTTCTCCAAGGACTGGTCTCTCCTGGCCACGTGCCTGAAATATGTGAGACAGAGCTTCAGAATCCTAGCCTCCAAGGAAAGACCTGGTTTCACATGGCAGTCCATGGTGTGTTCAAGATTCTTCTCCAGTACCACAACTCAAAGACATTGATTCTGTCATCCTTAGTCACTCTCCAGCTCTTTGATGCATAGCAAGTAACTGAGAAGACCATGGCCTGGATTAGGCGTGCCTTTGTATCTAGACTGACATCATTGCTCTTCAGCACTCTGGAGAGATCCATGACAGCAGATTTTCCCAATGCAATTTGTCTTTTGATTTCCTGACTGCTGGTGCCAAGAGTGCTGACTGTAGAGCCCAGCAAGCTGTAATTGTTAACACTCTCAATCTCCTCCATATTGCTGCCAACTGGCCTAGTGCTGAGAATCTGTGTCTTCTTGATCCTGAGCTTCAGTCCATATTGAAGACTACAGTCTATACTGAAGACAAATCATTCAGGAAGGAGGGCTTTATGAGGAGGAATGTGGATCAAGATTGGAGGAAGACTCACCAACAACCTACGTTATGTAGATGACACAGCCTCACAACCCTGCTCGCTGAAACTGAGGAGGACATTCCTCTGGTACTCTTTGCTTTCAGCCAAGATCCATCTGACATCGGCAATCATGACCTCCTCTAAACCCAGCTAGTATTTTTGATAGTTCTCTGTCAATAAACTGTTCCAATCGTTTATGGATAATTTTCAGCAGGATTTTGCTAGTATGTTATATTGTTTGATAATTTCCACACTTTGTCGGGTCACCTTTTTTTTTGGAATGGGAATAAATATAGATCTCTTCCAATCAGTTGGCCAAGTAGTTGTCCTCCAGATTTCTTGGCACAACCTGGTGAGTACATTCAGGGCAGCATCTGTTGCTAAAATACAATTAGTCAATTAGTATTCCATCAATTTCTGGGGTTTTATTTTTTGCCAAGTCCTTCAGAGCAGCCTGAACTTCCTCTTTCATCACTACTGCCTTTTGATCATATGTTGTTTCTTGAAATTCTTCTGTGTCAGCCAATTTCTTTTGGTACTCTCTATACTCCTTCTAGATTCTTTTAACTCGACCTTAGCAATCACTAATCACAAAAGACTGTTTTGGTTATCCTAAGAAATAGGTAAACTCTATTGATCTCAGAGGTAAGACAAGTAACACACAACTGCTCCAATGAGATTTACCCAAGAGTTGTGCATTTATTATTTTTTTTTACCTGTAGCCAGGGATGACTAAGAGATTTGTCAACACTGTAACGTTTTCTCATCTTCACTTGAAGTAGGTTGTTTATCAAATCAGTTGCTAGGAGAAAAGACAAAATTAAATTCATTAATTTGAGTGGACAGGGCTCTTCAAATCTCTCATTTTACCTAGAAGGCTGATGAATCCCCAGAAATCGGAATTTTGCTGGCCTTCAAGTTGAGCTCCCAGTGATTCGTAAATGCTAAGTGAACGCACAGTGTGCCTGCCAAGCCTTCACCGTGTCAGGAGGCAGGACGGAGCACAGGCTAGAAGCATGGGCCCTGAGGCCAGCCCACCTGAGATGAGTTCTGGTTCTGCCACTTACTAGGTTAGTTATCAAACTACTCCATGCTTCAGCATCTTCACCTGTAACGGGAGGTGGCTATGAGGGGTAAATCAGTTTATTACATACAAGAAAGGTCTCTCAACAATGTTTAGCCACAGGTGCTAAATAAAATAATTACTGTTATTATTTTAAAATGAATAAAACAGACACTAATTTCAGGCTGACACCCCATGCCCATGCCCAGTCACAGTCCCTGCCTGACTCTAGCAGTGTGGTTCCGCTGAGGTGGGGTCTCAGTGAAAGATTCTGGGGTCTTCTATGTGAAGACATCAGCATACATTTTGCTGCAGTTATTTGGAGAAATGAATCATCTGCAAAGTTAAGGTCACCCACCATGTAACTCTATTGACTATGTAACTTTATGTAAAATTAAATAGTGAAACCTTTTCTAAGACCTAGATCCTTCTCAGGATTGGGCTGAATAAAAAGATTTAGAACTTTCAGAAACTAACTAGACAGTGTCTGCTGAATATAAAACCTTGATTCTTGGGATAAAGAACTTGAGGTGTAGGTTCTCATGTTAGGAACTTATGATGTAGTTGTGAAGGTAAGAAAAAAAATTGTGAAAAATAACCACCATCAAATCAAGTACTTAAGAAAACAATGTCTAACTAATTGGCACAGATAGATTACACTGTTTAGAGAAAGAACAGGCAAGGAAGACTAAGAAGATGAGCTACAAGTTAAGGTGTCTTAGAAAGACTGCAGACAGGAGAGGCCTAATCAAAATTCAGAGAATGGTTCAGAGAGTACAAGACTAGGTTTGTGTTAGGGAGTGGGAGGCAACGTGGCTAGACGATAAACTCAGGCAGTCATGAGACCAATAAATAGCTGCAAAATGGTCTGAAACGCAACGGCACTGCTGTGCGGTCAGCTCCCACTCACAGCGGATCTCCAGCAGGTTCTCCACATAGGTGCGATAAATGCCAATGGAGAAGGCCCATCATTCTCCTGTGGAGCGGCTGCTGGATTTGAACTGCTGGAGATGCACAGCCTGTGGGCGAGTGGGCGAGCAGTGCAGCTTGCTGTACCCTAGTTCTCCTTAATGTGCTTAAAGAGAAAAATATTTTGGGGCATAATCAGCCATCAGTAGTGAAGACAGATTTTTCAGCAGGCACTGGGAAGGACCAGAGAAGAGGCTAACAGAATGGGTGAAAAGATAATTCAGGAGTTTAAAGAGTAGCTATTTGGGTTTGGAAAATTGCTAGCTGGCAGGTCTTAAGATAGAGAAAAGAATGTGAGAGCTTTTAAAAAAACAACAACAAAAAAACCCCCCCACTACCAACAACTAATTAAACTGGGAGATATTTAAAAAGATAGAAGAGAATACGGATCTGGAAGTAGAAAGACTACAGGGCACAAAGCCAAAACATACTTTTTTTTTCTTTTTACCTTCACCAGAAATTTCTCTCCATGGATTTGGTGGGTACATAAAGGCAGCATTTTGGATTTGGTCATTTATATCTTCATCTTCATTAAAAGGAAATGTGCCACTGAGGCTCACGTACACAATGACGCCCACTGACCACATGTCCAGGGAACGGTTGTAGCCTTTGCTTCTGAGAACTTCAGGTGCTAAGTAGGCAGGAGTTCCCACCACAGATCTCCGGAAGGACTTCTCACCAATGATTCGGGCAAAACCAAAGTCACACAGCTTCACCTAGAAATCAGAGGATCTGATTACATTAACTTATGTATACAAAATTTTAATTTCAAGATCATTTCAATAAATTTACCAGATAGGAATCGCTGGTAGCCTAGTGATAAAAAAACTGCACTGTAATCCCAAAGGCACATGGTTCGGATCCACGAGCTGCTCCATGAGAGAAGAATGGGCAATTTCTTCCAGTTCTATTAACTGCCTCTAAAAACTCATTGAAGGGTCATTGGTTGGTTCAGACTTGTTAGTACACAACCACCACCACCACTAACCACATACTGATTTCTAAATGCCAAATGATGGTTATTGTTGCTGTTGCTAGATGCTGTGATACTGAGTATGTATGCCTCAAAGCGACCCTATGGACAACAGATCTGAACTCTATCCTATCCTGTGTCAGCCTCAATCTTCCTGAAACATTAGAGCCCACTGCAGTAGTCACAGTGTCAATCCACCTGGTTGAGGGTCTTCCCCTCCTTTGCTGACCCTCTACCTTTCTGAGCATCGTGTTCCTCCCCAAGAAGACACCTTCCTAGCAACATGCCCAAATATGTGAGACGAAGCTTTATCATTGTTGGCTTCAAAGAGCACTCTGATTGTACCTTCTCCAAGATATACTCGTTTGTTCTTTTGGCAGTCCATGGGATGCTCAGTACTCTTCTCCAACACCATAGCTCAAAGGCATCAATTCTTCTGTCATCCTTATTCACTGTCTAGCTCTCAAAGGCATAGCAAATGATCGGAAAGACCATTGCCTGAATCAGATGCACCTTAGTCCTCAAACTGACATCACTGCTCCTCAATAACTTGGCAAGGTCCCTAAGTGTAGATTTTCCCAATGCAATACATCTGATTTCCAGACTGCTGGTATCAAAGGTGTTGACTGTGGTGGATCCAAGTAAGATGAATTTGTTGACAGTTGCAATATTTTCTCCACCTGTAATGATGCTACTTATAGGTTCTGTGGTAGGAATTTTTGCTTTTTTAACATTGAGATGCAATACATATTGAAGGCTTCTTTGATCTTCTCCAACAAGTGATTCAAGTCATCCTCACTTTCAGCAACCAAGTCTGTGTCATCTGCATAACGCAGGCTATTGATGAGCCTTCCTTCAATCCATCAGGATCAAATGATGGTGGATAAGTAAAATACCTCTTTCTCAAAAGGTGGTTGTTGTTAAGTGTTGTTGAGTAGAGTGGGATTCATAGCAACCCTATGAACAAAAGACCTGAGCCCTGTTCTATAACTATCATCATTTCTCTGTGTTCATAGTGTTTCCAGAGGTATGTGTTTAGGAAGTAGATGCCACTCCTGCTTCCAAACCTGAATCAATCTAGGAGCTCCACCAAACACTATCTATGATGGGTAACCATTACGGCATTCTCAAAATCAAAAGGATGCATATTTAGAACCCTGTCTTCTATCACTAATACTATGAACATCTTTCCTAGTGCTCATTTTGAAGAAACTCTTTGAATTCTGGCTTCCAGAATGCTAAATATCAGACTCGTATTATAAGTGGTCAAAGTTTATTTTTTGCCAACTTTTCCCTCCCTTGTCTCATAATTTGGCTGAAAAGGAGATCATAATTCTATTGTTGTTGAGCAGGAATGCAGTGTTTCATTTTTGAATCCTCAGTGGCTTCACAGTACCTGGTCACTTAGGGAACTTAACGTTTGTTGGATAAAACATATTATGCTGTTGATGTGTGCCACTGAGTCAGAATCGACCCAAAGCCATCTCTTTAGTGTGTTTTCAGAGGCAGTAAACAGAATGAGAGGAGACGGCCCATCCTTCTTCTGCAGAGAAAATGGTGGATTTGAACAGTGTGCTACTGGGATTGCAGCACAGCTTTTTACCCTTAGGCCACCAGAGCTCCTCAAATATTTATAGTATTTAAAAACTTAGGAGAATTCTGGTGGCATAGTGGTAAGGAACTGTGCTGCCAACCCAACGGTATGTACTTTGAACCTACCAGCAGCTGCAGGTGGAAGATGGGCAATCTCCTGTGTAATTTATTAGTCTGAAAACCCACCAGAGGGTCAGCTATGGGTTGGTTCTGACTCCGCAGTGTACCCCAGCCCTTTTGTTAGCTAACTAGTAAATTCTCTTATCAAGGACACCTATCAATCAGCAAACTTAGTTGTGCTAAGGATAATTAATAATCTGTACATAAATAATAAGGATATTATGAAAGATAAATATTGGACACTTACTGCCTCTGAAAACCTGCTGGAGGGTCAGCTATGAGTTGCTTTTGACTTGATGGCCCAAAACAACAACAGGTACCAAATTATGACTAGGTACAGGCTTCAATTTGATAAAAAAGTTCTGTATGAACGTGACCAGTCACTGCCTCTTCTCGGGGTAAGGGTTCTGATAGTGTAATGAGCTTGGAAGAGTTCCATGTACTTCTAATACACATCTCCTGGAAGAGCTTCAGATTTTGGAGGTTAATGACTACATCTATGCATAACTAGCACATGTTAATAAGTATTTTCCAAAGGAAATGTCCGATTGACAAAATGTCTACAGTGAAAGAATTAAGATAAACTGAGAAAGGAGTTATAGAAAACAGTACAATGGCTGAAGAACAAAAGTAAAGGTGTATTTAAGGAAGCTTACTGTTTTGGGGAAGACACATGTTTTTATCAGTGATACTTGCTCTGTCCTTACTGAATTTGTCTATTTCTATATTACGGTCTTTGAAGGGTAGAACTGACCATAATAATTGCAAAAAAAGTTTTCTGTGTATTGAATGCCAGATATGTCAGTTAACATCCTGATAAAGCAAAAATGAGATAATTTGGCAACTGAATAAAGAAGCATGGCCATGGCTAGCACTTGATCAAAAAAGGGAGTCAAGTAATTGACCTCTTTCCTTTTTGTCCTTAAAGGGCACAATGTGGCCCACTGCTGTGGAAGTCAGGAAGCTGGAGTCTGAATTTCAGAAGCGTAGAGCACGTCCTCTGTCAACACTACTTTAAAGAGCAAATGAGATAATATATGGAAGTATTTCTTTAAACCAGCACTCCAACTCTTAGTGAATTCTCTTTGATCTTATAATGATACGGAATCACTTTGAAATAAACGGAAGAACTGGCCTCACTGCAGTTGAGTCGGAGCCGACTCAGCCGACTCTCCGGTGGGTTTTTAGAGACTGTACATTGCACAGGAGATGGTCCATCTTCCTCCTGTGGATCCACTGGTAGATTGACACCTACATCTCTGAGTTGGCAGTGCAACTCCCCATATACCAGGCCACGGAGCTCCCTTTCAACTACTCAGTTATTATTTTAAAAAAGGAAAAATATTACTATTTTAAAATAAAAATTTAGTTTCATATTTTTTATAGAACTTGTTCTTTGGCAGGTAACTTGTTTTATATACAAGAATGATCTGTTGTCCTTATTCTAGCTATTTATGTAACTACACAGGTTTTAATTGTATAAACAATAGTTTGGAAGCACATTTTCTTATTAATTTGAGGATTCATCAGTGGCAATCATGAAAAACAACTGTAGGTCAAGTAGCATCACACACACACTGCTTAGGACAGTTGTTTCAAACATGGGGTCAGGATCAATTTAGTAGGTTTTGAAATCAATTAATAGCTCAGATCAACAGTTTCTTAAAAAATTACCCAAATAGGACTCCTCATCCCAATTAAGTAGGATGCATCCCCTTTTGCCAGCCCCTGCTCCCCCCCCCCCCCCCCCCCCCCCCCGTATAATACATTGTATGAGTACTGGCAGTGATAGGAAGCAGCAGATTTCTTACGCAAACTTTGTTAAAAATGTGTGAAATACAGAGCTCTAATGAAAAGAAGCTAATGTCTCCCATCTCAGGGGAAGCCCTCAGTGTTAAGGAATTCATCTTGACCACCCAGCAAAAAGCAAGATTGCTATTCCCTCCACTTTCATCCTCAAGCCATGGGAGAAGTGACAAAGTCTATATGCATAAATTATTACTGGAGATCACATTCAATCTAAAAACATCTTAATGAAAATAAATATAATTCGTAGTAAGAATTCAAATTATTGAGAGTACTAATGCTAACTGGCAATAAGCCACTGCGGTGGAAAATGAGGGTAGGACTACGGGAACTCTTTGAGGCTGAAAACTCTGTAAGACGCTGTGAATGGGAAGCATGCAGTCCTTATTAGCACAACGCTTTTCATTATGTGGCTTCTTCAGAAATGTTATTAGGTACTTGAGCTGATTCTTCAAAAAGCAGTTATCTCACCTGAGGAAATGGTTCCGCTGACGCAAGCAGCACATTTTCTGGCTTCAGATCACAGTGCACAATATTTTTAAAATGTAGATTCCTCAAGGCCACAAGTATCTATTATTAAAGAAAAAGATTTTTCAGCACTTGAATGAACAGTTTCTAACCCCAAACTTGATTTTTGAGTAGAGTAAAAATTGGGATAGTTCACTGCATTTCATCAAGATTTAACTAAAAGTGTTTTGTTCTTTAAGGTTAATGACTCCCAACAAATGGCAGTATGTAAAAGTTCTACCTTTTCATTCTTCTAATTCTTATTTTGTAGTTTCCAAAAAGAGTTGAGATACCTGAGTGACCATGAATTTAGTAATTCGTTCTGGAAGACGACTTTTCTCACTGGACAGAATCATTTCTAACATATCTCCATGCAGCTTTTCCATTACTACAAAGACCCGCTCAGGGGTTTCAAACATACATTCCAGGTTGACAATCCCAGGATGGTGCAAATTCTAAAAACAGTTACAGGATAGTCATATCATCAACTCAAGGAGAGAAACTTTTTTACTATGCAAATATCTAACACTGTTATAAATGATAGTTTATATATATAGGAAACACATCACATAGAAACATACTGCATAGAATACCTTAAAACATACAAAAAAGTTAATCAATAAAAAAGCTCACAGATTACAATATTTTCAAGTTGTAGAACAGGGGAATGAATGCACCAAAAGAATGTCTTCCCAATTTGAAAGTGTCCCCTTTCCAGCACTGTGTTTTTCATCTCTTTTATCTTTGGACATAGCTTTAATTTTATGCAAATGATTAGCTTAAATAGGCGCTGACTGGCAAATCAAATTTAAACCAAATTTATAAGAACTTTGTTTATTCAAAACGAATTTGTAAGGCCTTTGCTTAATGTTCTTTTAGAGTCAGAATCTTCCTAACTCCATTGCATTCTATGTTTCCTGAGCACTAGCAAGTTAAAGGGATTTCTGGTGGTGTATTTTGTAGATTATAATCCTACAGGCTATGGAGAGCGAGCGAGCAGGATATAACCCAAAACCCCACTGCAGTTTTTGGTGACTCATTGTTATAAAGCTTAACAAGAGTATACTGCCTCATCTTTCTTTTGCAGAGCAGCTAGTGGGTTAGAACCAAAGACCTTTGGGTTAGCAGCCCAACATGCTACAGTGACTTTGGGAAGGCTAGTCTTGTGGCTATACCAAGATAAATGTCATCGTCTTTTTACTTTAAAAAAAGCACTCTGCCTTTGTTCTACTGGTAGAAAAACCTTCCTCAAAGACAAATATGACTTGTCAATCTTACTAAAAACCTTTTCAATGGATTTTTATTTTTGGATATAAAATCCTTTTGCCTGAATTCTAAAACCCTCATTTTCCCTATTCAATCATTTTCTTTTTTTATCCCTGTTCAACCCTAAATATATTCTATTGGTCCAAGTGGTAAGAATATTTTAAATTAAAATATTTTTATGCTTTTTCATTAATATGGGAACTAATTATGTAGAATTAATTTTTGCCAATGAGTCTCATCTCTAAAATTATTTTTAAAACCCAAAAATCCTTTAGCTGAATTTTATACCCTGTCATCTCTCCTTTGAACTACTACAGTAGTTTCTATCACACTGTCCATGAACAGCAATACTTATTATGCTATAATTAAATTGGAGCCTACTAATAAATTCCACGAGACGTTGTAACTTGGTAATTCAATGTTGGAGTAATAGTAGGTATTTTCAATAAAGGAAAGAAAATGAATGAATGCAAAGAAAAGCAGCCCTCAAACTCACTGTTGTCAAGTTGAAGCCAACTGATGGCTGATCACTCCATTGGTTTTCCAAGGCTATAAATTGTTCAAGAGGACTGCCTATCTTTCTCCTGAGGAGCCGCTTGCGAATTTGAACCACCCAGCTGGTGTTGCCTTTGAGTTAGCATTACAATTCCTTACAGACTCTGCCACCAGAGAGCAAAAATGTAAAAGAAATGCTTACTAATCAATGTAAGGGGAACTCTTTATGGCGTGGCCTGGTGGTGACTTAGAGCCTTAGATATGATCCGGTGAGTCTATTCTAATAATGATTCATTTTATTAACTCCCCTAAGAATTCACTTTTAGATAATTAGTTGTAATTTCTGTAAATTCTTTTATTAATCTTCTGCTTTCGTGGCTTTATTTAGTCTTTTAAAAATATTTTTGATTGTGATTTTAATGAAAAAGTTAACAGAAAAGATGTTCGTTCATTTGTGCACACTGTCCTCCTTCCCCTTTCAGCCTCCTCCCTCAGTTCATTTTATTTAAAAAATATTCATTCATTGTTGCAAGTCTCTAACTTCTTAAGGTGCTATCTTCAACCACTACTCCCTCATTCTCACTGCTTTCAAGTCAGAACCCGATCATTGCTGACTATTCAGTGGTTTTTCTGAGGCTGTAAACTGCACAGGAGAAGACGTCTCATCTTTCTTCATCAGAGCACCTGGTGGATTTGAACTGTCTGTCTTTGGATTGGCAGTGTCATTCCTTATCCCCTAAAGCCACCAGATCTCCCTGTCTTCTTCTATAGTTTTCCTTAATAAATTTGACGCTGTTAATTGTGGTGGTGTTAAGTGCTGTTGAGTTGGAACTGACTTATAGCCAACCCTCAGAAAGTTTTCAAAGGCTGTAAAAAAAATGAGAGGAGGCTTCCCTTCCTTTTCCTGCAGAAAAGGAATCCTGTAGATTCAAACTGCCACCAGATCTCCTATCTTCTGTGTGGTAGCTGTTAGGTGCCTTTGAGTTGAGAATGGCTCCTACTCAAATAACAGACCTGGACCCTCCTGTCCTATCCTGTGCCACCCTCATCATTTCTGACACAGTAAGTTGTCCCTGGATCCTTTATAAATTTGAGGCTGTTATTTGGTGTACTGTAATTTACATTCTACCACTGTTAAAATATCCTTCATTTCTTTAGGGTATTTTCTTCTGAATGAAATCTTGTCAGGACATGACCCCTCTGGCTGTCTTTTGTACTGTGTAGGAGCCCAGGCAAGGTGTTCTGCTGTAGCACTGACACACGCTCGGCTATTTATACTGTGGTGCCCCTTCCTGCATGCATCCTTATACCTCTGCTCCATCGTCACTCCTTTTAAAAAAATTTGGCCTATTTTATGGGTTACTGGTTTACTTTGCTTCTTTTTTAATTAACACTAGTGAGTGCTTTCCTGTGTATCACTTTCTTGCAGCATTTGAGTAGTTTAAAGCTGGGGAAAATGGTGCATTTATGTCACCATGCTGAAACCAGAAGAGTCTCTTTAAAATTTCTGATAATCAACATGATTAAGTTTTCCCTTTAATACAGGTACCAAGGTGGTGTAGCCTTTGGGTTAGGAGTGAAACTTGCTGTGGACTTTACTACCAGAGCACCCACTGTGAAACATTACTAGTACTGATCAGTAAGGTAAAAGCTACGCAACGAATTAAAAGACATGCACACGTAATAATTTAATTTACTGGATATTAGGAAAATGATCCAAAGATCAAGGTAAATTTTACTTTTCTCAGTAACGCTCAAAAAAGGTGAAAATGTTCAATGAAAATAAAAATACATAATACTTTGTCATTTCATGGGATTTAGGTCAGTGCCAAGATTATTTTCAAAATGTATCTATCTATCCAGTATAGTTAACAATTTTAATTTGCTTGGTTCCACAGTCAACACTCTTGGTAGCAGCAGCCAGGAAATCAAGAGAGGAATTGCATTGGGAAAGTCAGCTGTCAGGGACCTCTCAAGAGTACTGAAGAGCAATGACGTCAGGCTGGAGACTAATGTGTGCCTGATCCAGGCTACAGTCTTTGCAATTACATGATATGCATCAGACAGTTGGACAGTAAATAAGGATGATAGAAGGAAAATTAATGCCTTTGAGCTGTGGTGCTGGTGAAGAGTGTTGAATATACCATGGACTACTAGGAGAACAAACAGGTTTGTCCTGGAGAGGGTGAAGCTAGAATGCTCCTTGGAGTCCAGGATACTGAAGCTTCGTCTGACATACTTTGGGCATGTTGCAAGGAGGGACTGGTTCTTAGAGAGGGACATCATGTGTGGGAGAGTGGAGGGACGGCGCAGGAGAGGAAGACCCTCGATGAGATGGATCGATTCTGTGAGTGGAATGGTGGGAATGATTGTGTTTGAGACAGCGAGGTTGGCACAGGACAGAACGGCGTTTAGGGTTGCTATGAGTCACAAGCGACTCGATGGCACATAACAACAACAACAACAACAAATCCAGTATAGCAGCAGTGGGAATTGAGATGACGCTATCAATGACTTCCCAATGAAATATGGCAGAAGTACCAATGTATTAAAGCTTCTGCACTCAGAGATTTAGAATTAAGTTTTAGAATTAAGTTTCTGTCTTCATCCTATACTGTTTCTTTTCTTATTTTAAGAGATTAATTACGAAAATGTGATGGTTTGTATTTAAGGTAATATTGACCTTTTTCAAGTTAAAAGAAATTCATTCAGATGCCTGGTATTGAGATAAAAAGTTATAAGATGAAAACAAATTTTATTCTTCTGAACACATTAAATAAATGTGCATTAAAAATGTGTAATAAAACATTAAAAGCAGTATTTTTTTACCTGTAAAATAGCCACTTCATTACGGAGTTGACTTTCTTGTTTTGTTGGAAATCTCATTTTATCAATTACTTTAATAGCCACATCCCTTCCAGTCTTTCTGTGTTTTCCTAGTAAAAGAAAAAAGGAAGGAATAGCAAGTTCACAGCTCAATAAATACCAATATCTTTACCAGGAAATTGTCCATAGCATGTAATTTATTTGCATTCAGTGATGTTGCCTTCTTCTGAACCATTTTTATTCTTTTGGCATACTTTCATTTAACATTTCATTCACCTTAAGTGAAAGACAACGCATATCCCCTCCATCTTATCTACTTTAATGAAGGCTGTTTTATTAAGTCAAAGGGCCAGGAACGTCAATGAATATGTTTGCTGAAAATAACCTACCTTGTTAACTAAAAAAGAGTTAACTATCTTGACCTACAGTACTGGAATCAGTAAGACTGACTCAGGACAGGGCAGGCTTCCGAGCTGCTGTACAGAGGGTCGCTATGAGTCACAGGTGACTTGACGGCACGTAACAACAACAACAACAACATCATCATCATCTTGACCTAGTCTTAGTGGTCCTGTGAAGGCAAGAACTTTGTACTACTTTCATTCTAGGTTTGGTAAATCACAATTGAGTGACTTAGTCACATAATATCTCCTCATCTTCTTTCTTGGTCCTTCTATTTCAGAATCAATAAAGGCAGAAGCTTGCAACAAATAGCCATTCCCTCATTCTCTCAAACGAGTTATCTTGCACTTATTGTACACTAGACATTGTTTCAGATTCACCCTTAGAGTGAATCTTATAAAAAAAAAATAGAAGACAAACCTCACTTCTGTTTACTACTACCGCATCTAGCCTTAAGTTGCTCACCACTGACTTTTGCTCATGGTCTATCTCCTTATGTGATAATGCAAGGTGGCTACGATTCATCCTTGTGCCTCTAAACCATCAAAGTGCTTCTCTCTGTTAGCTTTCTGTCTTCCAGTCCTATTTGTCACATTTCCCCACACCTTCACTTTTGTGTCGACCGAACTTGTGTTCAAGCTTCAAGGCTTAATGAAAGAGTTTCCTTTAAGAAGATTTTTGTATCCTCGTCCTTACCAAATCATCAAATAACTTCCTCCTTGGTGCCCCTGTCACACAGCATACATACTTCTATCCTAAATACTTGAAAGTTTATATTATTGTTTGCCACCTGAGCCAGATAAAACAAGCTTGGAAGTAGGAGTGGCATCCACTTCCGTAAATAGCTTGCCTCCGGAAACTCTATGAACCTGGAGAAAAGATGAAAGTCATGCAAGTGTTGAGGACTTTCATTCATAAGGTCGCTATGAGTTGCCTACTTCTTGATGGCACTTAACAACAACAACAACAACAACAACAACAACAACAACAACAACAACACTTAAACCAGAAGCATAGACTAAGGGAAGTAAGGGTTTTGCTTTTCTAGCTCCTAGCTGTATTTGGCATATAGCAGTCATTCAGACAATGTGTTGATTTTACATGCATTTATAACATTTATAGTTTGCAAATGTGCCCATTTTAAGAAGACAGCATAAAAAAATTAAAAAAAAAAAGAAGACAGCATAAGACACTGTTAAAATATAGGACTGACATGGGGGTTAGGAGAGAAGAGGAAGAGTGGATAATGCCTGCACTGGAAGAGATGAAGGGAAGAATTTTCTGAAAGAATGTACAATGAGACATTATGACAATTAACAATCTGGAACAAGAAGTGCATTACAAAGTAGAGAAGGGAGCAGAAGGTGGGGGGAAATGTGCAACAATGAATGAGTAAATGAAAGCAAATTTTTCTGTAAACTTTCGTTAAAAATCACAATTTAAAAAAAAGAATACTGGACTTCATTGACTGAGGTGGGAGCTCTGGTGGTACAGTCTGTGAAGGGCTGCGCTCCTAACCCAAAGTTGCACTGCTCTGCTGTGGGGTCTACGGCCTCAAAACCGCAATGGAGGTGCAGTTAGAAGTTGGTTCTGACCACACAGCAATGGGTTATGCCTTTTTCCATCAAGGAGGCAGAGAACTGTTCGGGGTACTCTGGGATCTTACCAAATTTGCATGTTTGTCTCTAGTCTTTCCAAGTAGTCAAAGACTTTTATGACCAGTCCACTTAAGACAGGTGTGAGGTATTTTCTAATAAATAGTTACTCAGAGAATATGAAATCATATACAGGAGACTAGGGCATAATGCAAAAATGGAAGATTACCATATCAGACACAGAATGGATTACGTCCTTGCATAACTGAGACTCATGGCCCAGCCAAGCTGACACAGGAGCTTAACCATCAGCTAGCTTTCCTCTCCTCACTTTGATACCCTCCTTACACTTTGATGCTGATTACTGCCAGACACAAGCCATTAATGTGCCAAACAGTTGGATATATTTTTCTTTTTATTATTAATTTTAATGAAAATTTACAGAGATTTTGGATTTCCATTCGTTTTTTGTTTCACTTTTCTCCCTGCCCATGCCAGGCCTCCCCCGCTCCCAATTCACTCTTCTGTTTGAAAAGGAAAAGGAAAATTCTTTCATTGTTATATAATCCCTCCCTCCAAGTCCACTCCACTATATAGCCTTCGTTCTGGACTCCTGTCATGACAATAATACCTAATCATATATACCTTTTAAACAGTTCTCTCTCTCATCTGTTTCAATGCAGTATACATAATTTGTCCCATCTTTCTCATTCTTTTAAACAAAGTTTTAATTTTTTTCATTGTTGCAGTTTCTTTCCCCTCCTCCATCCCTACCCACACTGCACCCCTGTTCCAGATTACTGTCATGCTTATACTACCTAATCATATATTCTTTTACAGTTTCCCCTTCATCTGCTCAAATGCAGTGTTCCTATCTCTCCACTCTTCCAATTCTTCCCCCATCATATTTTATTAATAGTGATGCTATGCAGTATTTGTCCTTCTGTGACTTAGATATTTCACTCAGCATAATGTCCTCTAGGTTTCCCCATTGTGTAATGTTTTACAAGTTCTCTGTTTTTCAATGCTGTGTAATATGCCAGTGTTTGAATGTACCATAGTTTTTCTATTTATTTGTTTGTTGATGGGCACTTGGGTTGCTTCCATCTCTTTGCTGTTGTGAATAATGAAGCACTAAACATGGATGTGCATACGTCTGAGTCATTTTTTTAGGGTATATAGAAACTAGGATACTGAAGCTCCATCTCACATATTTTGGGCACATGGTCAGGTGGGACCTGTCCTTGGAAAAGGGCATCATGCTCGGAAGGGTACAGGGATAGAGCAGGAGAGGAAGATTCCAGATAAGATGGATTGATATAGTAACTGTGGCAAAGGGGGTAGGTGTGTCAGAGTCAGTGAGACTGGTTCAGGACAGGGTAGGCTTCAGAGCTGTTGTACATAGGGTCACTATGAGCTGCAGGCAACTGAATGGCACATAACAACCCTCCCACTCCCAACTCCCCCAGTAGTGGAATTGCTGGCTCAAATGGTATTTCTATTTCCAACTTTTTGAGAAAACACCAGACCGCTTCCATAGTGGCTGTAACATTTTACATTCCAGCCAGCAGTGAGTAAGAGTTCTGATTGCTCCACAACCTTCCCAGCATTTGTTGTTTGCTGGCCTATTAAAACTGTGCTATTGTTGCTAGGGTGCAATGTGGATAGATTTTTTTAAACCATTGTTGTAAATATCAGGTAAGTGTGAATGGAATAGGTGTACCGAAAATGCAGGTCATTTTCACTGCTTTGGCCATAGCATCTAAAACAGTGCCTTAAAGGATTAATGTGTGTTCAGTAAAAAAAAGGAACAGAAGTAAAGGTATGTGGAAATATAATAAATAAGGCTGGAAGGCAGAAAGTAGAGCAGGAGAAAGGGTACTGAGTGAGAGGACAATAATCAGAGGTGAGGTTTTTTGTTTTTTCAACTTTAAGAGTGGAATGAAAGAGAGCCATATTGGAAGCATAAAAGCTAACCAGAAAAAAGAAAAAAGAAAAAAAAAAGCTAACCAGAAGACCAATACAGCAGTTATAACAAGAATGATAGGATTTAGAATTTCCTCTGTATCTGGTATCAAAGCTTATCTAGTATTTTTATGTGCATTAGGAATCACTGATCTTAACAACTCTGTGAGTTATGCCAGTATGGTGCTAGTCTAAAAGTTGGTGTTTTTGAAAGCTGTTACAGTAAGGGCCATCTGGTCTCCAACTGCCTTAACTCTAGACACATGGTCTTGCAAATTATCAAGACCTTTTTAATCAACAGCTAAAACAGCAATACCAGAGAGCGCTCTGCACACTCGAGGGTGTGTGAAAACCCCAACACAGGCACATCAGGCGTGACTGTGTTTGTGTTTCCTGCTGCATCCAGCCTAGCTCAATGCTCACCAGTTTCTACAAAATCCTAGCCTGCAAACCTACAGTCACATGAGTCATTCCCCTGAGGGGGTCTGAGTCCCTTGAGGACCTTTTAGCAAATCTTAAGATCCACCGAACATAGAGGAATTGGGGAACTGAGCCACAGATGGAGCTGTTATGGACTTCTACAACTGTTTAAGCATTTGGAAGTATGCTGATCTGAGGCTTCTCATAAACAGCCTGCTATTAATCTTAGCAGGACAAATTATAAAAAAACAGCAGGGTAGGTTTTATTAATTCTATTTAACAGATGAAGACTGTGAGGTACGAAGAAGTTAAATTACTTTTCCGATACAATCCAGGGAGCTCTGGTGGCCTAGTGGGTAAGAAGGTGCACTGCTAACCCAAAGGACGTGGTTAGAATCCACCAGCTGCTCCATGACAAAAAGATGGACAATCTCCTCCCATGAGCCTCTGAACACTCTCTGGAGGGTCAGCTGTAAGTTGGTTCTGAAATGATGGCACATAACAAAAGTACTATACAGATTTTAAGATACAGAGCTGGGTAAGAATTCAGGCTGATCTGTGCCAACAACAGACAAATGGTGCTGGCAAACTAGTAGGGAGTATACTTTAATGAATAAACTCACACACAGCCCATGTGAATATCAAACCATTTCCCCCCCTCACATCTCTACTTGTGTTTACATAAGAAGAGATAATGACTATCTTTTTATAAAAAAAAATTTTTTTATTATTTTTTGTGTGTGTACCGTCAAATCGGATCAGACTAGTACAGGAGGAGACTGCCCCTCTTCTCCAGCAGAGCATCTGGTGGATTCAAATCGCACACCTCTGGGATTACAGTGCAGCTTCTTGCCACTAGGCGCCACCAGAGCTCCCTAACAACTACCTTTTTAAGGTTTGCTATTAAAGTTGGAAATGAAAATGTTTAGCTGAAAGAACAGAAAGTAACCTGAGAGGAAAATGGTATTTGTAAAAGTTGTTTTTAAATTGCACAATGTGCCTATACAATGTACAGAAATCACTTACCTCCATTGTTGCTGCTGTTGATTGCCTGTGAGTCGAGCACGACTCATAGTGATCCTATGAACAAAAGGCCTGAAGCCTTTCTACAGCTATCGACATTTATCAAAGTTCATAGAGTTTCCAGAGGCATGTTCTTTAGGAAGTGGATGTCACTCCTGATTCCCATCTAAAAGATTAAGTGTTGCCATTTTGACCCTAATAAAATTTAGGAAAGTAATACAGCATTGTCTGCATACGCAGAAGAGATTATCATGGGAACGCACACTTACCTCCATAAACAATGCCAAACTGGCCTGAGCCAAGCACCTCATCGGCAAAGATCTGGTAAACGGTACTGATGTCCTGGTCAAGAGAAAATAAGCAATCAAAAGAACATATTCCTTATAAAACTTTATAAAATTCTTGACTCTTTTTATTAAAACTCATTTTTGTTTTTATGTAAGAGATAACTAATTTTAATAAACTACAAAAGTATTTTATGGAATATACTCTTTTACCATCATATTTTAGGAAAGGTTAAACTGAGTTTTGACATGACTACTAAACAAGCAAATATAACCGTATTGTGTAAGACTGCCTTAAAAAAGAGCTTTGAATAAAAACAAACACTATTATCACAGCAGTGATCTATAAAAAGTAAATTAACATTAAACATTTAATAATAAAGTTTTAATTATCTGATCATTTAGAGATACCTTAAATCTTGGATCTGAAAAAAACCCTCAGCTTCCTATTACTGGGATTAGGTTGATTTTGAAACTATGAGGAAAAGTTAGAAAAAGCATGGAACTCAAACCAACTTCTTTCTCCTTTTGGCCTCTTTTCTTTCCTCCTTCCCTGCATTCCTGGGTCACTTCCATTTTTGGGGACAAATAGTGGTTGCTGCAGCCAGAACATTCACAGACAACATTCACTAACACTCCCTTAGCTCTTCAGCCAAGGTTTTCTTTGTGTTTGAGTCCATACACAGCAGGCTTCTCATTACCTGAAATAAACTACTTTATACCTTACAACTACTATTTACTTAGTACTACTCGATGGACTGCCAAGAGAACAAATATGACTTGGGAGAAAAATGTAGCCAGGCTGCTCTTTGGAGGCAAGGATGGTGATGCTTCACCCACGTATTGTAGGCATATTTTCAGGAGGTGCTGTTATGTGGACAAAATGGTAGCAAATGTGGAGGGTCAGCAAAAGAGGGGAAAATCCTCAATGAGATGAATTGACAGTGGCTATAGTAACAGTTTGTTGTTTTTTTTTTTTTACCATCTCAGGAACAGATTTGAGGCTTTGAACACTAATGAACGAAGGCCAGATGAGTTGTGGGAGGATATCAAGGGTATCATCCAGGAAGAGTGCAAATGGTCATTGCAAAGACAGAAGAGGAAGAAAAGACCAAAATGGATGTCAGAAGAGACTCTGAAAATTGCACTGGAGCGCAGAGAAGCCAAAGCACAGGGAAGAATTCAAGATACTAAAGAGTTGAATAGAAGATTTCAAAAGGCAGCACGGGATGACAAAGCAAAATATTACAATGAAATGTGCAAGGAGTTGGAGTCAGAAAATCAAAAGGGCCGAACTCGCTCAGCATATCTTAAGCTCAAGGAACTGAAGAACAAATTCAAACCTCGAGTTGCTATAATCAAGGATGCTTTTGGCAGAATGTCAAATGATCCCGGAACTATTAAAAAAAGATGGAAGGAATATACTGAGTCACTGTATCGAAAGGAATTGGAAGACACAGAAGAATTTCATGAAACAACATATGAGCAAGAGCCTATGGTGATGAAAGAAGAAGTTCAGGCTGCTTTGAAGGACATGGCCAAAAATAAGGCTCCAGGAATATGGTATACCAATTGATATATTTCAGTTAACAGATGCTGCCCTGGACGTGCTCACCAAGTTGTGCCAAGAAATCTGGAGAACGACCAATTGGCCAACTGACTGGAAGAGATCGATATTTGTTCCTATCCCAAAGAAAGGCGACCCAACCGAATGTGGAAACTATGGAACAATTTCACTGATTTCACATGTAAGCAAGATTTTACTGAAAATTATCCAAAAATGACTAGAACAGCACATCAACAGAGAACTACCAGAAGTCCAGGCTGGTTTCAGAAGGGGTCGTGGCACTAGAGATATTGTAGCTGATGTTAGATGGATCTTGGCTGAAAGCAGGGAATACCAGAGGAATGTCTATCTGTGCTTCATTGACTATGCAAAGGCATTTGACTGTGTAGATCATAACAAACTGTGGCTGACTCTGAGAAGAATGGGAATCCCAGAACACTTGATCGTTCTAATGCGAAACTTATACTTGGACCAGGAGGCAGTCGTCAGAACAGAGCAAGGGAACACTGCATGGTTCAAAATTGGGAAGGGCGTACGCCAGGGATGCATCCTATCTCCATACCTCTTCAACCTATATGCAGAACAGATTATCCGGGAGGCTGGGCTCTATGAGGAGAAATGTGGGGTCAAGATTGGTGGACGATTTATCAACAATCTACGTTATGCGGATGACACAACCCCTGCTTGCTGAAATTGAAGAGGACCTGAAGCACCTGCTGCAGAGTGTCAAGGACTGCAGCCTGCAATATGGATTGAGGCTCAATGTCAAGAAGACAAAGATTCTCACCACTGGACCAATCGGCAGCATCAGGATGGATGGTGAAGAGATCGAGATTGTACACCGCTTTAGTCTGCTTGGCTCCATAGTCAACAGTCTTGGCACCAGCAGCCAGGAAATTAAAAGGTGCATTGCCATGGGAAAGTCTGCTGTTAGGGACCTCTCCAAAGTGCTGAAGAGCAGTGGTGTCTCTCTGGAGACTAAGGTGCGTCTGATACAGGCCATAGTCTTCGCAATCACCTGTTATGCATCAGAGAGTTGGACAATGACCAAGGAGGATAGAAGGAGAACTGATGCCTTTGAGCTGTGGTGCTGGAAAAGAGTACTGAGAATACCATGGACTGCTAGGAAAACAAATAGATTTGTCCTGGAGAGGGTTAAACTGGGTGGCTCCTTGGAGGCAAGGATTCTGAGGCTCCGTCTAACTTACTTTGGACATGTAGTGAGGAGAGACCGGTCCTTGGAGAGAGACATCATGCTTGGGAGGGTAGAGGGACGGCGCAGGAGAGGAAGGCCCTCTATGAGGTGGATTGATTCAGTGACTGGGATAATTGGGATGGGAGTGTCAGAGACAGTGCGATTGGCACAGGACAGAGCGGAGTTTAGGGCTGTTGTACATAGGGTCGCTATGAGTCGCAGGCGACTCGACGGCACATAACAACAACAATAACAACATAGTAACAGGCTCAAGCCTATCAATGATGATGAGGATGGAACAGGATAAGCAAGGTTCAGATTTATGGTTCAATGGGTCGCTATGAGTTGTCAATTAGATGGCACTAACTACATGTGTTGGATACTAGTATAAGGCAGTATATTGAGGGTAGTGTATGCACGGCTTAGTAAAGTTAAAAGTATGAACTCACAGACTCCAAAGATAGTAAGAGAGTTGCTATTGTTGTCAAGTGCTGCTGCTGAACAAATTAACCTTAGAGAAAAAGAATATTTGATATGTTTGTTGATTTGGAATTAATGGAGACCCTACATGTGCAGAATGGAGTTGCACTCCAGAGAATTTTCAAGGGTGTGACCAGTTAGAAGCAGATCATCAGGCCGCCGTCCAAGGTGCTCAAAAAACCCATTATTTCAAGAAGCTGCACTGCAATCCCAGAGGTGAGCGGTTCGAATCCACCAGATGTTCTGCTGGAGAAGGAGGGGTAATCTCCTCCTGTACGAGTCAAAGCTAATTTGATGATTCATACACACAAAATAATAATAAACAAAATTAAAAAAAACAAAACCTAACCAAAAAACCCCCATCGTTTTTTGGTACATGACATCAACAACATAGTATCACACATTGTTTACTCTTTGCTATAGATTTATTTTTATGTTTCTCTTCTAAATCCCTTAAGTGTTAGTTCTAGTCATTATAAATTAACTAGCTATCACAGAACTTAGTATATAATTGGAGCTCAGTAAATAGTGGCAATAATCATAAACATTTTTAAAATTAGATCTAGGGAAATACCTTTTTACAAAAGAGACTGAATCCCCAGGAACTTAAGTAGTTTAAGAGTACCTAAATTATGATTAAATTTATGACTTAAGAGTACCTAGTAATTATGATACTAGGATTTGTGGATTTACGTAGCTACTGAAGTTATTTGATATTTATAGGTATGTTCCTAGTGTGTTCCAGGCACTAGCTGGACATGCACTTAACATGCATCCTTATTTAGTTCACGTTAAAATTCAGTCATGTAAATGGTATTATAATCAGTTTACAAACGGAGAAATTGAATCTTAGGAAACATAACTTGTCTTGGAGATTGTAAAAGCCTCTGTATCCCTGAAGAATGAAGAGGAGATGTGAAAAGGGAACCCTTTCTGACCCTAAATGCCATTTTAAAGCCCAGGTTTCCAAGATGTTGACGAAATGTAAATGATCATCAATAATACCAAAATGCTAAAACTAGAAAAATGTCCCTAGCCATCAGATTCCATTTGCCATATGAGTAGAATATGAGTTGGAACTGCCCCCTAGAGGACCGTCTGGTGAGTTCTCAGAGGCAGTAAACTGCACAGGAGGAGACTGCCCATCTTCTCCACCAGAGCAGACAGCAGACCGGAACTGTGTGTCTTTGGGTTGGCAGTGCAACTCCTTACCATGAAGCCACTAGAGCTCCCCTAGGATCCATGCAAGGGTCAAAAAAGCAGCAGCTCTCTTAAACAGCTTTTCTCTATAAAGCCACTAGAGTAATTCATGCTCTCCCTCCCCCCTGAAATAGAGAAAAGCACATGCTCACTGATGTCCACAGCGGTATACCTTACACTTGTGGTCAGCTGGCTCCACCCATGGAGGGCTGACCTGCTGGGTGCCTCAAACAAATAAACTTGCTTCCAAAAGTGCATTTATGTCATATGTATTATTATATACAAAGTTTAATTAAGTAGTATAAACAATTAGTTATATACTACATAAGGCAACGGTTATGGCTATCTATGAAACTAAGTTGTTCTGGGAATACACGGATGAGGCACTAACCACAACTGTTAAATTTCTTGTGAGTAAATAAATACAAAAGATTGGGGGAGTAAAAATCCAAGAGTCTCTTCTTGGAATGTTTCACAAATATCTTTGGCTCTACTTAAAAAAAGACAAAAAGTCTTAATTTTTTGAAATTATGTATGTAGCTGATGCAGAAAACACCAAGTAGAACTCCACTCGACAAACCCAGACTTAAAACTGCGACAAAAAGCAAATGCTATCCAAATATATGATCAATACCATATGGGATTTTTTAACTTGATAAGAATAATTTTTTAAATGCCTTCCACCTTTAAGCAATTTTTGTTTGATCAAATTTTGGTTCTAATAAAATTGATAGGGAAGCATCCACTATCAACTCAATGCTGTCGAGTCAAAACCAACTCCTATTTGACCCTTCAGAAGGTTTTCAGAGGCTGTAAATAAATCATAAAGGAGGAGATTGCCATCTTTCTCCCATGGAGCAGTTGGTGGATTTGTACTGCCTGTCTGTGGACTGGCAGCCCACCTTCTTACCCATGATGCCAAAAGTTTCCTCGACTCTATATACTGATTATACTCTATATACTAATTACCTCAATATGTTGTTATTATGTACCCTTGATTTGGAACCAATCCTCAGCTGATCTCCCCACCACTTGATATGATTAATGTTAAGAATTCCAAATAAAACACATATTCTTTTTAAATTAAAAAATAAATAATTTAAGAATAAATGATACTAGACTATTACTAAGTACTGTACTCTTTCAGAGAAACGAGGATCTTTCTTTCTGGGTCAGCAGAGAAATTTTGAAAGGAAATGGGATTTGAGTTATTCCTGGAAGGACAGAAAGGATGTCTGACAGACAAGCTAGAGGGCAGGAGTAACATCCCATGCAGGTAGGGATCAAAATCTTAGAAATTCCAACAGTATTCACGTATCACAGAAACAGAATAGGTATATGCCTCAAGAAGAAGAGGAAAAACCAACAACTTCTGTCAAGGAGCCTTCTACAAAGCAAATGAATAATTTTCTGACTCCCTTTCCTAGGCTTTCTTCCTTCTAATCCAGGGGTTAGCAAACTATAGCTCATCGTCAAATCTGGACTGCTCTGACTTATTTTTTTAGACAGCCCATTATCTAAGAATAGTTCTTAACATACTCATTTATTTGCATATTGTTTATATCTGCTTTTTAGTTACAAGGGCTGAATTGAGAAGCTGTGTCAGAGACCCCACAGCCTGAAAACGTCAAAACATTTTTCATTTCCCCTTTGCAGGAGAAGTGTAACAGTTCTCATTTTACTCAAAGGAGCTCAGGTGGCTTAGAGATAAGGAGCTCGCTGCCAATCCAAAGGCACACAATTAGAATCCATCAGTTGCTACAAAGAGGAAAAGTAGGCATTCTCCTCCCATGCAATTTACTGCCTCTGAAAACCCTCAGTTCCAACTCAATGGTACACAACAATAACACTATAGTCAATCCCCTGAATCACCCACATTTATTCACTTAAAAGTTCCGTGTTTTGGTATGAACAGACACTTCACCAAAGAAGACATTCAGATGGTCAACAAGCACATGAAGAAATGTTCAAAATCCCTAGCTCTAAGAAAGATGCAAATCAAGACAACTATGAGATATCATCTCACCCCAGTCAGAATAGCAAAATTTAACAGAACAGCAAGCAACAAATGCAGGCTAGGTTGTGGAGAAACTGGAACCCTTATTCACTGTTTTTTGTTCTGTCCAATGGTGCAACCACTGTGGAAAGTGGTGTGGTGCTTTCTCAAAAAGTTGCAAGTAGAGATACCATTTGACCCAGCACTACCACTACTGGGAATATACTTTAAAGAGATCATAAGCGTCATCTAAGCAGATATATGCACACCCATGTTTATAGCGGCTTTGTTCACAATAGCAAGGAGTTGGAAACCTAAGTGCCCATCAACAAACAAATGGATAGAGAAGCTGTGGTATATTCACATAATGGAATACTAAGCTGCATTGAAAAACAAGGAACTCATGCAATATTATTCAAAATGGGTGAGCCTGGAGGACATTATGCTGAGTGAAATATTTCAGTCACAAAAGGACAAATACTGTATGGTTGCAACTGTTGTAGAATGAAGCTGACATCAGGGAGGGGGTAAGACTGAGAAAAACTGGATAAATTATGTTTACTGCATTGAAGCCGATGAGGGAGAGAACAGTTTAAAAGTAATATATTTTAGGGCATTATGATTATCATAAGAGTCCTGAATAAGGGTTGCAGAACGGAGTACACTCGGAGTGGGGGTGGGAGGGTGCGTGGGGATTGTATACCAGTGAAGGAGTTTTTCTTTTGCTTTTCAAGGAGAAGAGTGAACTGGGGGCTGGGGTAGGGTGGGCGGCGAGAAAAGTGCAACAATGAAAAAAATGGAAATCCAAAATCTTTGTAAATGTTCATTGAAATTAAAAAAAAAGTTCTGTGTGTCCTGCTGCCACCTTTTTGCTTATCCTGTTCAACCTGCATAACATGGCCCCTTCTTCCCCCTCCACCCCTGCTTGCCTGTCAAATATCCTTCCAGGCATAATTCAAATCCCAATTCCTATACAGACCTTTCTCTGCTGACCCAGTAAGAAACTCTCTCTTTTCTGACGGAGCATAATACTTGGCAATATTCTAATGTCATTTATGAGAAAATGAATGTATAAAATTTGTCTTAGTTTCCTTGTAAAGCAGAACTCCTTAGGGAAAAGTCCACATTATCACCCCCAAAATCCAGTATAATGTCTTTATGCAAATTGCTTAAAGCTTTGGGCTATGAACCCATTTTGCTAGTAAGATTTTCACAATTCATTTTCCTTACTTTTACCACTCAATTTGCACACTTTAATTGAGATTATTACTTACCACATTTTCCTGGATCTGACAATTAGATACAGAGATACTAGTAGACAACTCTTCTGTAAAATATAAGAATAATATATGAGAAAAGAGTAAAATTGTAAATAACTGACTTCATAAGGTTAATACTCACTGATAAGAAAAATTCCCATAGTATTTTAAATTTTAATAAGAAAATAACAAAACTTAGAATAGAGTTAATACAATTGCTTACATTTAAAAACCTATAAACAAAATTCTGATCTATTAGCAGAAAACCAGACAAAGAAACAGAATCACAGGAATGGTATCTAACGCTTTAAAAATTAGAAAGAGTTAAGTGCTGAATAAGAAAACTTTCCATGTCTTGCTATTTTGTTTATAAAGTTTCAGGATGATAATGCTTGGATTTTAAAAAACATAAATATGGTTTCTTCTGGGAAATTGGAGGTGGAACTAGGGAACAAAGATTTTAGTTTTTAGTGTCTACACTTCTGTATCATTTATCCAAAGACTACTGGCAAAGAGTATTGGCCAAAGCCACTTAATACATCATGATTTACCCAAAGAACACATCTGCCTTGGAAGATGTACAGTCCGAGTGCTCCTTAGAAGGAAGGATGGTGAGACTCTGGAAAAGTAGTGAGTAGGCCAGTGAAAGAGAGACTAACCTCAATGAGACTGGTTGACACAGTGACTGCAGCTGCTGGCTTAAGCATTGCCGAGATCGTGAGTTGGCGCAGGATGGCCAGGGTTTTGTTCTGTTGTACATGTGCAAGGATCTTCCCTGATAACATCTAACAACAACTACTACTATTATACAGCTTACATTTTTTTTTAAAAAAAAGTATTACTGTCATTAAAAAATTAAACAGCTGTTGTTAGGTGCCATCGAGTCAAGTACAACTCACAGCGACTCCATGAATAGATGTGAACCCTGTCCTATCCTCTTCCAGCCTCAAACCACTGACACACTCAACCTCATTGCCATGGTCACTGTGTCAATCCACCTGGTTGAGGGTCTTCCTCTCTTTCCTATCCCTCCACCTTCTCAGGCATGCTGTTCTTCTCCCATGAATAACCTCTCCTAGCAACATGCCCAAAGTATGTGAGACGAAGCTTCACCATCTTCACCTCCAAGGAGCACTCTGGCTGCACCTCCTCCAAGACCTGTTTGTTCTTTGGGTAGTCCAGGAGATGTTCAGCACTCTTCTCCAACATAATTCAAAGGCATAAATTCCTCTTCTGTCATCCTTATTCACTGTCCACCTCTAAGATGTATAGCAAGTGGCCATGGACTGAATCAGGCACCCCTTAGTCTTCATATTGACATCACTACTCCTCAATATTGGAAGGAGGAGTGGCATCCACTTCCGTTAATAGTTTGCCTCCGGAAAGCCTATGAACCTCGAGAGAGGATGAAAGGCACCCAAGCGTCGAGGACTCTCCTTCATAGGGTCGCTATGAGATGCCTGCGACTCGACGGCACTTAACAACAACAACAACAACAACAATCCTCAATAATTTGGAGAGGTCCTCAACTATAGACTTTACCAGTGCAATACATTTCCTATCTCTTGACTGCTGGTACCAAGTGTACTGACTGTGGATCTAAGGAAGAGATAACTGTTGACAGTCTCAATCTTTTCTCTAACATGATGATGCTTGTTGCCTACTGGTCCATCCAATGGTGAAAATTTTGTATTCTTGATGTTGAGATGCAATCCATATTGAAGGCTGCAGTGTTTATTAACCTGCTGCAGCAAGGGCTTCAAGTGTTCCTCACTTTCAGCAAGTAAGGTTGTGTTATCCACATAATGAAGGTTACTGACGAGGTTACTGATCCTCCAATCCTGATGCCACATTCTTCTTCATGGAGTTCAGTTTCTCAAATAATTTGCTCAGCATACAGTTTAAATAGATTCTGAGAAAGGATACAACCCTGTCACATACCTTACTGAACTTCAACCATGCAATGTTTCCTTGCTCTATTGGCACTGAAGTTTCTTGATCTAAGTATATGGTTTCGCATGAGCACAATTAATTGTTCTGGAGTTCCTATTCTTTTCAATGTTAGCCATAGTTTGTTATGATCAACATAGTCAAATGCCTCCACATAGTCAATAAAGCACAAACAAACATTGTTCTGGTATTCTTAAATAGTAGGTAAATCTATATAATGAGATTGAAATATATCTAATGCATACTAGAATAATGAATAAAAACAAGTTATATACCAGCCTAAATATTTTAATTTTTTCCCCCTCAAAAAGAAAAGAATAAACTGTATAGGCTACCTTTATCCTCCATCATCTTTAAATAAAAAAAAAACAACTAAATTTTCAATCATCATTTTCTGGGGAGCAGGAAGGTAGATGAGGGACAGACAAGAGAGTGTGTTGTATAGGGAGGCCTTTCACATCCTATTACTATAAATGTCTCTATTACTTTGATCAACAGAGAAAGTAAATGTAGTACTTTAATGATAGACATAATACTGATGTTGTGTAACTATACATAGCAAACCAACAAGCAGAACTTGATGCCAAATTAACTGATAAGGAAAAGGGCAAAAATAAGCAAGAAAGTAGATGTTTAACATATATAACTTTTTTTATAGTCCCAAATATAAATCTTTTCTAATAAGGAAAGCTAAGCAAATCATACAACAAAAAGAAGTAGCACATCTGCCAAATGCTCAATTTGAACATATTAAGACAATAAAAAATAATTTTACTAAGTAAATGTGTTAACAAGTGAGAAAAAGTACAGCATCAACTAAGGACTGTGTAGTTTCTAAAACATTGATTCTTAACAGATCCAGTTTCCTAGTTCAGAACTCAGTTATTTCCTTATTGTCAAAAGACTTCAGTATTCGGCTCCATCCAGTTCTAATTTCTATTGATTTCAAGGAGAACCCTGCTCCACAGAAGTTGATACAAGGGCGGCAGCAGCAGCATCAACACAGTAATACCATCTACCAAGTGTTATGCACTATGCCAAATGCATGATGGCTATATATTATAAAACCTACTTTAGACCAGAAGACTATAGAAAGAAAGACCAAACTGTTGCTAGTAAGTATCAGAACTAGGCCTTCATTCTCTGAAATCCTTACTCCAATGCTTTCACAATTCTATCTCTAGAGACCTTAACTCTTAGGAGAGAGGGTGGAGTTCCTATAGACGGCCATGAGAGGGTTCCTAAATCCTCAGAAATTATAAATAAGATTTGTGTTTATGTGTATTATTTTCTGAGGAAAAAGTCCATAGTTTCATTGAGACTTTCAGAAGATTCTGTCCAAACCTCTAAAACTTAAGAGCCACTGTGAAATATCTATGTATATACATCCAAAGAAAAATTATTAAATACCTATCCTGCATATGACCAAGACTGTCATCCCTTTGATGACACCTGTCTCCTCAAGTAGAGTAGAATTAGCCTTTGTTCCTAGTTCTTGACCACATGAGGCTAACAAGGGTGGGCTGACTAGACCAAGAAGAACCATCTGAGGGTCTAATACTGACTAAGCCTCAAGAGGCATGAAGTTCAATTGTTTCCTTGGTGTTATGGGTGAATATCTATCCTTGGGGATGTCAGCATGTATGCTGGAAATAGAGAAGTATGGCTCCGACACCGCTCCTTGATCTCAACCTAAGTGTTTGTACCTTTTCTACCCCCTACTAGGTTACAAGATAGCCTTTTCTCTACATTTGTGTCATTCCAGCCATTGTTTCCAATTAGATTTTTTTGTTCTGTTTTGTTAAAATTGTTGTGTACCATCTAATCGGACTGGAGGAGATTGCCCCTCCTTCTTCGGTGGAGCATCTAGTGGATTCAAACCGCATGCCTTCTGGACTGAAGCGCAGCTTCTTGCCACTAGGCCACCAGAGCTACCTTCCAATTAGTTTTCAGTCTGATCATCTGCTGAGAATTTGTAATTCCACTCTAGATATACTTCATACAATTATAGTTAAAATGTAGATGCTGATTCATTAAACTTGGGATAGAAAGGAAAATTCTCAACTGGGGATGAAAATGGAATGACCAGCTCAAAGCTACTGTGTCAAGTGATTATCACATATAAGATACAGAAATTCAGGTAGCATAATGAGTAGGGAGGTATGCTGCCAATCCAAGGGCAAGAGGTTTGAATCCACTAGCTGCTCAACAGGAGAATGATGGATAATCTGTGAATTTACTGCCTCTGAAACCTGTTGGAAGGTCATCTCTGAGCAAGTTCTGAGTTGATGGCACAGAACAACAATAGACAAAAAGAGAAAAGGTCCCTGCTTAGTGAACACCAGGTAATGTGTCTAAGAGAGAAGACTTACACAGGCAGCTGTGGCTGAACTGATCAAGGAAAGTAGGAAGAGATTTCCACAGAACAAAAGTGGCTTGTAGAGTGGGATGCATTATCCACATTTGGTATCTGAGTTGGTCCCAGGCTCCCTGAACAGGTTTGGTGCACCTAGTCCCTACCATATAGCTCTACTCCTACCTGAGAGCGCCAATATCCAGACAGATCAAGTTCTTCTACCATGGAATCTCTGCTCACACTTCCTATGCATATTTGAATTCCTCTTTATAACATTTTATAGGTTTATAGCCTACTAGGAAGCAAAATAAAATACTGGTAGCATACTTAGTCCAGTGAAACTTCATGGATGCCAAGCACCATTCTTAGCACCTGATAGGCCCTCTTTTATGTAATATCAACAGCTCTACAAAGTAGGCATTATTAAAGGGAGGGAAAACATTTATTATCTAAGCTCAACAAAGGAGCTCTAATGGTACAGTAAGTAATGTACTGGAGCGCTAACTGAATGATCAGCAGTTCAAATTCACCAGCTATTCCTTGAGAGACAGATGGACAATCTCCTCCCATAAAGATTCACAGCCTTAGGGAGCTCTGGTGGCCTAGTGGCAAGAAGCTGCACTGCAATCCCAGAGGTATGTGCTTTGAATCCACCAGAAGCTCTGCTCTGTTGGAGAAGGAGGGGTAATCCCCTCCTTTAACAGTCAGATCAGATTTGATGGCGCGCGCGCACACACACACACATTCTTAGCTTTGGGAACC